TTTTTTAACTATTTGAACATATTGTTTGTGTGTTAACATGCTTGTTACAGGAGTTCTATGTTCATTGTGGGAGCTGATAGGTTGATCACATGATAGAGAAAGAGAAACGTTCCCCAATGATGTTACCTCCTGACTTCTTGAAATGCTCAATGTGGATTTACCTGAAAGTACAGGTTTCAAATCTATGCTCCCTTCTAAGTTTATTGACTCATCTAATCTGATAACATTTGCATTATCAGTTGAAACCAATGGTGCTAGCCTAAAACCATTTAGTTCCTGTTGCATTTCCTGATTATCACCAACCTGAAACAGACCTACTGCAGGGGGGTCAATGTCCAAATGTTCTATTACGTCTGCAACTGAACCCTTTGTAGATTGTTGAGGACTATTATTTTTTGGCGGACTATTATTGTATGTGCAGCTTTGTGGTTTGATTGTAATTTGGGTGGATTGACAGATGGGTAATTCCAGTCTCTCCACTTCTGCACCATTTATATTATCCATGCTGTTAGACTGCTCAGTGCATGTATGCAAATCTGCCGTTGTAATTTTTGTTGGGGACCCTGATCTGTCATTCCCTCCCATCCCAATAGACCTGCTCTTACTTGCTACAATAGACTTGTGAAAATTGTATGATCCAATTTGGGGTCCAGTTGCATCTTTAGCTTGTTGCTGGACATTGCCACTGTGGGCATTAATATTTGCATCAGGTGCAAATTGGCTCAAAGGTTGAAATTCGCTTTGTGGTGCTATGCCCTCTCTTGTATAACTTGAGGGTGCAGGTTGTGGTGCTATGCCCTCTCTTGTATAACTTGAGGGTGCAGGTTGTGGTGCTATGCCCTCTCTTGTATAACTTGAGGGTGCAGGTTGTGGTGCTATGCCCTCTCTTGTATAACTTGAGGGAGTAGGTTGTGGTGCTATGCCCTCTCTTGTATAACTTGAGGGAGTAGGTTGTGGTGCTATGCCCTCTCTTGTATAACTTGAGGGTGCAGGTTGTGGTGCTATGCCCTCTCTTGTATAACTTGAGGGAGTAGGTTGTGGTGCTATGCCCTCTCTTGTATAACTTGAGGGTGCAGGTTGTGGTGCTAAGCCCTCTCTTGTATAACTTGAGGGTGCAGGTTGTGGTGCTATGCCCTCTCTTGTATAACTTGAGGGTGCAGGTTGTGGTGCTATGCCCTCTCTTGTATAACTTGAGGGTGCAGGTTGTGGTGCTAAGCCCTCTCTTGTATAACTTGAGGGTGCAGGTTGTGGTGCTAAGCCCTCTCTTGTATAACTTGAGGGTACAGGTTGAAAGCTAGCACTCAATGAGGCCTCATTACAATGGGGAGGATTCAAGCTGACCATAAATCGTTGTTGTCTAATGGGTCTGCTCGAGTCAAATGTCTGGCCTGGAGTAAATTTAGCTAATTTTCCCGCCTTCATTACATACCGTAAAGCACTTTCAAAGTGGCCCACGGTTATAAATTTATGTTCCAGGGCCTCAGCTGGTGTAATTCTCTTGTCTGGGTCTAGTTTCAGCATTTTCTTCAATAGATCCAGAAAAGCCCTTCTGTCCTCATATTCCATTCCTGACTCTATCTCATAGAAATTGAGGACAACATCTTCAATTCCAGTTGCAGCTTCTAGATTAAATTCTCCTAGTTCGGGAATGTTTCCTTCAGGATCCCTGTATTCACTAAGAGTCTTCAGCCTCCATTCCCCGGTTTCTCCCTGGACATAGAAATCCCTCCCATCTTTAGCTTGTCTAATGAGATCACCATCAGGGACACCCAATAGATGGGTGACTTGGCGGAGACTGTCATACAGTGAGTAAACATTGAACAACGGAAAATTTAAATACCACTCAAGGAGGCAGCAGCCAAGGCTCCACATGTCTATTGCGGCAGTGATGGGAAGGCCCAGTATTACTTCTGGAGCACCGTATGACGGTGGTTGCAAATGCTGCATGATTTCCCCTGGGCGTTGAAAAATTGCATTACCAAAATCTATCAATTTCACCTTGAATGGATGCCTTTCAAAATCCACCAGCATGATGTTGTCAGGTTTCAAATCAGTGTGAATCACACCAACCTGAGATAAAGCTTTTAAAGCTATCATCAACTCTTTTGCCATTGGGCGGATTTCACTTAGTGAAAATGAGGAATTTCTCATACTCATTAAATCCCACACATTCTGATCCAGCATTTCAAACTCCATGTAGTAAAAGCCAGCAGTGGATTTAAAAGCATAGTTAAATCGGATCAGATTGTTTGCGTCTGGATCCAGGCCGCTAATGGCTTGGAGTATTTCCAACTCCTCACGTATTAAATCTTCTGGGAGATACGTGAACTCTTTCAAGGCCACAAATGTCCCTGTCCCTTTATTAATACATTTGTATACTGCTGCAGAGGCCCCCTGTCCCAACGGCTCTATCATTTCATATCTCTCTAATACCTCAATTGTTTCGCTCATGTTTAGTAAGTGATCTAAAGACATGATAATGAGTGTGACTGACTGACTATATATATATATATACTGTCTGACTGGCTATATGGAGTAAGACTATGGAGTAAGACTATATGGTGCCTAGTTCTGTGTGACTTGCTATGTGGGGCCTGGAAGTCATATGACAAATTCTGACAATGACATCATCAAATGACATATACCATAGTTACCGTTGCCATGGTGATAATTATTGGAATCTTGAAGAACAGTTGCTATGACCATATAAGGCAATAGAACACCTGCAGTTCCGGAGGGCCATGTTAAGATGTTCTATTAAATATTGAAAACTCAAACTAATAAGGAGTGAAGAAGATGACATAGTCTGGGATCGCGTCTTTAATTCCGACAGAAGACATGTTTTATTGTCGATGGTAGAGACAGCACGATCACAGCACACGATCACAGATACAAGAGAATGCAAGTGTATTATACAGAGCGGAGGCATGGAGACCTCCAATCAGCAGCTTCCACGGTGCCATGTAGCTTGGCCTTCAGATAGACACAACAAGGGAAAAGTACTGGCTTCTGCACATTGATAGAATGATGAGTTTAACTTTAACAAAAGTTGCTTCAAAGTGTTATGAAATCTCATAGGAGTCAGGTGTTTTTTCTTAAAGTTTTCATCTTTTTCCTTTTTAACTTTTCAGCCTTACAACCGTGTTCTACCAAATACATTTGAACAACATGTAGTTATTTCTTTAACCCCATAAAAGTGTCCTAACAGAAAGAGTCGATCATGTGCATTAAAATTAGACCACAACATGCTGTCTTTATCTCAATAGAAACAAAGTCTAAAGACGTGACAGAGGCCAAAAACATGTGCATGTGAGAACTAGTGAAAGAACCAACATGCTAGCTCTTTAGATCTGGTATTTACACTCGGCCTGCTGGTGAACAATGTGAGCGTAGAGAATGTGCACATTGTGGTGTGTTCTTTGACTTTTTGGGGAATCCTGAGCCTTGCCCTCCAATCACTAAAGCAGAGAGGAGGATTATAGAGTCAGCTGCAGAAAGGTTCAGTGGAAGATTTGACCCTCTGTTGTAAAAATCTTGCACTCTCATAATGTTCGCTGGGCTTCCATCTTGGATCAAGTGGCACTTTTTCAAACCAGTCCTCTGTGAATCTGCAGGGAACGTGCCATAAAAAATAAACAATATCTAAGGGAGCTTGTCTCCTCCTAAGATGATCTGTTAGATGAGGCCAGATCAAGCTATATTCACCAGCTGATTGCCTCCAATGAGAAACCCTAAAGTGCCCATCGACACGATTGTCACTGCAGTGCGGGTTGAAATTAGTTCCTGAAAAGACACACTTTCTTCCTCATGTTGACTCTCCTCCTCAGATCTGGTAATCCTTCAGTTACTCAAGCGCTGGCATGAAGTTAGCAAGACTCAAGCTTACCTTAGCAGTTCAAGTTCAAATTCTCTAGTATACACTTTGAGCTAAACAATGCAATAATGTTTTTTGTAATGGGGCCGCATGTTATGTGAATGAGACTGCTGATTCATCAAAAGAAGATGCCCTGATGATGACCAAGGCGTTCAGTAGAAGTGCTGGCAGAGTGAAGCTGTCCATCAATCGAGCGGCGATTCCTGAGAGACAAGAGCAGTTCAACAGGCTCCTGAAAAGTCAACATTTTTATCACACTGGAAACATGTCTAGAAAATTACATCAATAGGACACTAAAGCTGGCATGGGTTTGTCATATTTTAATACATTTTAATCCTAAAGTAAATATGCAACAATAATGGAATGTTAAGAGTGTATTTGGATAGATTATTACACAACATGCTTTTTTCATGTTTTTTATTTGTTGTCCGTTGCCGAGTCCAGGGTGGGGGAGAGTTTTTCGTTTTTTTACTTCTATAAATATAAATCAGACCAGGTATATTTTATCTAACAAACTGGCGACCCACATGAAAACCTCATTCTTGAAAATTCTAACCATAACTATTATAGACATTAAGAATTATACATTTAAAACAGGTCAGATATGATTTGTACATGTGACCCATTAGCTGACATTACTTTGTATTTTTTTACTAGAATTGTTTTTTTTATACTAGTATCAGTTAGACCTGTAGTACTTTTGCCACATTCGTCACAATATCTTTCATGTGCACATTGTCACCACAAACTGAATCCAGGTTTTAAAAAAGTTCCATTTGTTTTATTTAAGCACACAGTTCACATTCATATAGATAATTTAATCACACATAATGAGGACAATGTTTCTGGCGGTGACCTACAGCATTCTGCAGAAGATCACTTTTGATGCAGTCGTGTTTATTTCTGTCTCCAAAACCTCTTGCTCATCATCTCCATGGAAACTGGGAAAGCCCCACACGTTGCCAAGGGAAACGGAAGCCATACATATATATATTTATATTTCTTCCACTTGCAAAAATGTGAGCAGGGTTTTTCTGCAGAGCTGTGAGCGGGTGGGTGGGTGTGTGTTCCCCACGGTCTGCTTGAAGCTCTGCTTCTGCTGAGCGTGCACTATCCATTGTCCTTTTCACTTGGCCATGTCTTCAGCCACGGCTTTTCCAATCTTATCCTTCAAATATGACACTTTCTGGTAGTCGCTCTTGAGCTGCAGCCACTCGTAATACGGCACCTGAAAAAGAGCAGCGTGAACAACGTGATTATAGATTTGGTTCCAATTAATTTACACAAAGCGATGAACGTTATACAAGATGGAGTCTCTTGAAAACAACATTATCACTCTATGCTTTTCTGTCCTTTGGTAGATGGTACGTTTACTTTACTACATTTAAGCATAATTATATGCAATTCAAGGCGAGTTCCAGGTCCAGTTTAATTGGACTCAAACAGCCCAAACAGTGGAGGAGGTGTCCTGGTCCATTTGAAGCCAGTGGCGGCCAGAACAAAGGCTAAACAGACTAAAGACTCAAATGGTTCAGAGACATCATGAGGACAGTTCCTTTGTTTCTCAAAAAGGTGTTTGGTGCTGATTTTGTAAGAAGTCCCGCCTCTCTGTAAAAAGCAGCTTGTGAACACTAGTTTTATTTCAGTCCTCTGTTTTCACCTCTTCTCAGCGAGCCGTTAGCTGCTAACTAGCTACAGAAATGGAGGACACATGGACATGGAGCATGTGCAGCAGGATTAATGCTGAGCACAATGATTGACAGTTCCTTCCTTGAAGCTTCAACTCATGTTGCTATTGGGGAAAACTGGAAAAGGAATGTTGAAAAGGATGTTGTCAAAATGTATAATTGAACCAAGTCCACTTGACCAAGCGTGAACATGTGTCCGGTTCTTTAGGAGAAAAGTGGAACATACTGTACAAATACATTTCAAATGAGGCATATTCATTATTTCTGTTGAAAGAAAAGCAGCACTACAGCTTCCATTGGGCCTCTTCTGCATTTTTAAAGTTGCTCACATCTTTTATCTCCACTTCTACTTGTGGTTGTCGCCACATCAGTAAGATAGTAGTCCCTTTTGTCTCGGTGGTGGCCTAGATGAGGCTGCTGCAGGACTGCATCTGTACGAGGCGCTGCACAGGGACCTGTTTGACTCCAGCTCTAATTATATCATTGTTTGGCTGAACACATCACAGCCTCCCTCTCTGAGGGGACATTCACAGAGCTGCACAGGAGCTGCAGTATTCAAGTCAGCCCACACAGACTGTGCACCAACATCAGGAAACGTCCAATGAATTCAATACAAACAAACATAATTGTCTCGATTATTACTGTGAGCTGAAGTACCAAGCTTTGAGTTTCATGATTTATAAATATCCAAACAGAAAATGTTTTGTAAACATAAAATAATGCATACACAATCAGCCCTGATTAGAAAACATGTCATCTCGTGCAGACTCGTCTTGACTTCAATATGTCCGAATATTCTGATGTGAAAGAGGCCAATAATTTATGTATACATCAGTGCTGTGTAGAATATCGCGTTAACGTGTTTACGCAAAATCAATATTAACGTTTTTTTTTTTCATTGCACGATTTATTTGTGTGACCAACTTTACAATTTTTTCAGCTGTGGCCACTGTTAATGGTGTTGGAAAACTGCAGAAACAGGAACCCCCCTCCCCACTTTGCTGCTTTATCTTGTATCACACCGTTTTGATTCCTAGAAAGAGTAGTTGAAGGAGCTTGTTTGTTACCAATTATAAAGTGGGGGAAAAAAGTATTTAGTCAGCACACTAAAGATTATGAGGGAGGCCTGTAATTTTCATCATAGTTATTCCAATAATCCAGAATGATTTACAAATAAATTCTTTAAAAATCACAAAGTAAACTATGACATCCATGCGCAATTTAAAAAAAATAATCGTTGGACAGCACTAGTATATATGTATGAAAACTATCAACCCGAACTGTTAAAGAACAAGGAATAAGTTCTTCGCATTTTCGTTGTTTAATTTTGTTTGAAAGTTAGATAACCAAGTTTTAAAGACATACAACCCTGTGTTCCACTTGTATCCTAGAAACAACTAATACAAGACCTGATTCTAAATGTGAATGTATAAATTTACAAAAAAGATGCTTGCATGTTCTATTGTTGTTGCTCCAACCCCGTGTGTGAGCCTCACCTCCACCGTGATGAAGCCGGACAGCAGCAGGTGTCTCTTCATCAGGGTGAACCGTCCCAACAGGTCTTTACTCTTTGAGCAGAAGTTTGGAAACTCCAGAGTTACGAACGCAAGTCTAAGAAAACCACAACACAAGATTTAGAAACATTATCTGTCTCACGATTATAATCAAATTTGCGATGTGTTTTTGAGCCTAAAGAACAGTTCGAGCAAAATTCAACACAGTAAGATTTCAACATCTTTTATACACACATGACGCCATTTTGTTTATCAATACAAGATTTGTTGTTGTGAAGTGACATTGTGAAGACAGTTTATTGTCAGTCTTTAAAATGTATCGCTTGTTACACACAAAGATTATTTGTGAAAATATCCAATTTGTAATTGGGTTTTTTTTACAATCAATGCGTATCTCGGTGCGCACAGTCTTAGGAACTATTTACTTCAATTCATTCTTGTATAGCCTTAAATCACAACAGCAGTCAATTCACCAACAGACCAGAAAATCCAACCATCCAAACACAGTAACTGCAATAATAACAAACACATAGGAGCCATTGGTCTATAAGAAGCAGAAAGATGTCCATAATGGTAATACATGTTTATAAATGTCCTTAAATGCACTCCACGCACTTCACGTGGAGGAAAGATAGTGATGCTCCCAGCACAGAGCGAGTGGTGGGAGATGTGTAGGGTCAGAGAGTGTTTGGGCCTGTATGAGTTTGTATGTACACTTTGTATACATGCGCGTAAGAATGTCGTTCTTTATTGAATGTATTTTGGTAAATTTCAGCTTTCTCGATTCCAGGCGGAAAACTTTGCACATCCGACTCTGACAGGGACTTAAGACGAGGCCCCACACACGGCTAAGCAAAATTTGTACCGCCATCCTGACATGACCTTTTTGCAAAGTGGCTTTCCTGGGTGTTCTTTTTTCCACAACATCACAAAGGTATGCAAACAAAGAAACGCGTGTAAATAATGCGACAGCTTTTGTGGACATTTATCAACCTTTACGAACATTGGTCATCTGCCCCTAATGGACCAAAGGTTGTGTTTTTTTTTATCGTTCTTGTGTTTAAACTGTTTGATTCTCTGATCTGTCTTGGCGAATTCAACGGTTTTGTTAAGTCCTCTGAGATGTTATGATTTAGGGCTATACAAGAATAGTTTGAATTTAATTGAATCAAATCTCGGGAGATTCAAAAGTCTTACCTTCGAAAGCCTTCGGGTAATTCTTCTTTGCCTCCTCCGCTGCTTAAATGTGGAGCTTTGAAGGACAGCAGGTTCACAGGCTTGTTGTCTCCGTCCACAATCATCTCACCATCTGATTCAGAGAGAAGACATGATTGCGTGACTCATTCACAGAGCAGCGTTGAATATGTATGGGCAGAAGGCCTCTCCACGCACCCAGCGTCCAGCCCAACAGCGTATCAACTGCTACTCGCAGCGCCTCGCTCCTGCCGTCAACCAGAGAGCCCAGAATTTCTCTCACGTTGCTCTGAAGAGGGGAGATGGTGGAGAGGGGGGAGACGGGGTCATGGGGAAGGGCGTCCAGGGCGGTCTGAGCGGCTGCTGTGCTGAAGGATCCTGGGTGTTCCAACTGAAGCGTGGCGGCGACGTGGAGAAGCTTTAACCGGTAGTTATTTCTGCGATTTGGAGAGCTGTCTGTGAATGATAGGAAAGGAAAATGTGACATCAATCAATTTTACAGAACAAAAAAAAAGACGGTTTTGAAAATCGTTTGGATGAAGTAAAATGAGAACATGCTCACAAGATTCACTAAAGAAGTCATTAAAGTGGAAAGAAGTGTGAGTGAAATGATGAGATTATGGGGCTGTGAAATCTCTTTAATCTTCAAGAGTTGGAAGGCAGTTTGAAGGCACACAAAGAGAAAACCAACAGGATTGTTTTACTTCATTGTTTATGAGATTAAGTTATTCAGAAATGTGATGTGAAACATAAGAAAGGGAGTCTTGAAACTTTATAGAGATAAAACTACTAAAACCACTAACAGAAATAAATTCAAGAAAAATATGTTAAAAAAACGTGGATTCGGGAATCCATGCTCTTTAGGCTGCTTTTGTCTTTGTTCTTGTTGTTATTAGTTATGTATTCAAAAGAAATATTCAATGAGGAGTGGCGCTGACCAGAGAGAGCGGAGATGTGCTGCTGCTGTAACAGAGGGATCAGATACTGAGGCTTCGCCTGCTGCAAAACACATAAGGACCAAGCCACATCCGTCAGCAGGAACGGCTCCAGTCTGGTCAGAGACTGCTCCAGCGATGAGTGAACCTGTAACAAGATAAACATTGATCTTTTCATTCAGTAAATTTTATGCTATTCATAAAAGAAAGTACCTTTGTATAAAACTCATCTCCTTTGCTTGGTTGGAAACCAAGTCGAGCAAACGTCATGATGATATTGGAGAGTTGATAAATATTGTACTTCTGACTGTTTGAAGTATAATTCTGTTGAATAAGAGCAAGACATTCGATATAGTTAATGCATCTTTGTAACCTTTAAAGTGGTGTATAACTGAAGGAGATTAACCTCAGCAAAGGCCTCAAACAGAGGAAGATGGAGCCATTTAAGGAAACCAAAAGACTTAGAAAGACGAACGACTTCCATAGGGCTGAGTTCAGGGACTCTGGGTAAAAGCTCTGCGGCCATGCGCTGAAACACCTGAGTGTGGTGGAAATTCAGTTTTCCTATAAATAAAATAAGAACAATATTAAAAGATGACTGTGTATAATAAGTCCTTTAGTATTCACAATGTACCATATGCAAATGCCATATCCAGCATGAGCAGGGTGGAGAAGTCTGAAGAGGGCTTCTGCAGAAGGTGGTATGAAAGAGCTCTGAGGAGAGGGACAGAACGCCGACTCTGTCCCGCCAACGACACACACACTTTACGAATATCTTCTGAGGAGAAACTTTCAGCAAACTCCAAAGCCTAAATATGCAACAAAAACAAGCGACATAAGTGTCTGAGACATTGGGACCTGAACCAGAGCGTTCCCACAGACCTTGTCCTCCAGTCTATCCAGGAGAGTGGGCGACATGCGCTCGCCTTTGGATATCAGAGTACTGATGGTTCTAACGTCTGCTATCTCCGTCCACCGGAGCTCAAGCTGCTTCAGTGCAGCGTTTACCAAGCCCACGACCTGTGCTCCTTTGTGACCAGCTCCCCAGTCGATCAAATGACCCAGCTGTTTGTAGGAGAGTCTGCGAATGCGCCACAGCATCTCAGTCTGAACAGACGTCTGCACTGGGTCCATGGGCGGCAGGTTCATGATCCACAAGGCCTGCAGCGCAGACACCAGCGTGCTGTTCCACACTAACGACACCTGGGAAACACAACATACAGTCAACCGAGCCTGAAACAGGGATGCACCATTCTCATGATTACAACGCAATTCACAATATATGTATTCAAAAGTAACTTTAAAACAACTTGAGAGTGCTAAAGAGATTCACTATTTTCACTTCAAGTTTAAACTATACTACCACCAGATTTTATTTATTGTATGTATTCATTACAACCAAAGAATGAAACGCTTGCTTTAATTATGTACTTTCTTTGCCTTTATTTGAGAATATGATTGTATAACAGAAAGCAGATTTGCCAAAAGAAGCAATTTCCCAATAACAAAAGTGCAACTGCTTTTATACTGAGACTAAAGAGACTTGTTCCATTGGCAATGGGCTGTATGCACGGGGAGGCGTGACGTAATTTCCTGTTAACAAAGCACAGCCCGTTCACTTCCTACCTATGCTATCCTATGGCTTTTAGGTGGGTTTTAGTGACGTTTTTTAGAAAATAGATTGATACATTCAGCTGTGAGACTGACCCAAATGTGTCGCTGTGCTTTCCCTCTGAGGTAGAGCTTTGACTGTGGCCACTCAGAGAGATTTGTAAACTTTATAAAAACACAATGACAGCACAATCAAAGAGCACTGCTGTGTCCCAAAAATGCCCAGTATCCTCACAGTTTAATTCCTGTTTGAGCATTATTTGGGAAACTCGTGTAAAGCACTGCTGAACTCCAGTGAAACTCAAGCCGTTTCCCGCGAACAGGAAGTGAAGTGGGGTAGTAGCTAAAACGCGAAAGTGGTGCGTGCATAAAGCCCATTACCCATTTGAGTCTTTTTTTCTTCTTAAAGTAGCAATATGTAATATTTTCATGTCAAGTCATCATTAAATGGCCCTAATATGTCAAAAGGCTTTAATAAACCATGTCCTTTTTGAATACTTTAACTGATAACAGTAGTTCAGCCGAGATATTTGAATTTTAAAATTGGCTTTAAGCCGCTAAATCTTGTTATGTACAAAACGAGGAGTAAAAGATTTCTATCAGGCCTTTGTGAAAAATTCTTTGTTATAGTTTTGCTGTTGACAAATCTCTTGTCTATTCAGCTATTATGGTCCAAGCTGGATTTGACTGTACCAGCAACCTCAGTCAGGGAGAGAATGCAGAATAGTGGCCTTCATTGCAGTACCACTTTTGGGCAGATTTTGACATATTGCTCCTTTAATTTAAGCAATTTTATGAGCAATCTTATTGAAAAGGAGTTATATAATATCAGTCTTCGCAACTTGCTAATTGCATCCACTGAAATTGCAATTTTTATTAGATCATTTGTGCTGCCTTAGTCTGAAATGTACATTGGAATGTACATTTCAGCTACACACCTGCTGAGATAGAGTGCTCATCATGTCCTTCAGCCTTGGATCTGCAAGCATTTCAGGGGGTTGATCCTTAAACCTTCCTCTTGTTTTAATCACTAAATGAGTCCACTTTTTAAGAGTTATTGCGGCTTGGTTCCCTGTTCCTGAATTCTCTTCCCAGGCCTGCAGGATGTCCTCTGGTACGACAGCCTTATCTGTCAGGTCGTCCAGATGGGTACGTGCAGGTAGCTCTTCTTTCTTTACTGTCATTGCGTCACACATAAGTCTGGAGGAGGTGGAGGCCCAGAGAGGCGTCCTGTGCAGCTCCGCGGCCACAGCAGGACACAGGCGAGACGTGATCGCAGGAGCCTGAGCGGGGACCAGGCACAGCAGCCGACCACATCTGACCAGGACCCGGCCGGCCATGGCGACAGCTCAACACGCAGCGGTCACAGCCGTTGGCTCATTATGTGTGCGGCCAATTAAGAACCTGAAAGGACAGATGATTATGTGTTTAAGAAGCAGAGTAAAATCATAGCACAAAACAGACAAATGTATAGAGCCTTTTAAAATAACTCATATGTGTAACTTTACTAAGCTAAAGACAGATTTGAATTCATCCACTCATCCATTTTCTTCCACTTCTTCTGTTGCCGGGTCGTGGGGGCAGCAGTCTAAGCATAGTCCCTCCAGGGTGTCCTGGGTCTTCCCCGGGGTATAAACGCGACGGGATCACGTTTATCATCCCGGTGGGACGTGCCTGGTATACCACCCCACTTTTAGTCCTCGCCACATTTACATTTTTAGACAGAAATATCAACAATCAGCACAAAGGGTCAAATAATGACTCGCAGCGATCTATGCAAAATACAACATGTGTTCTTTTAAGTAGAAGACATGCATGGTGTGTTCTGAATTGTTCTCAACATTATACTTTTAAAAGACTATTTCTCTTATAACATTTAAAACAGATTAATAGTGAAAAAATAAGTACCCCAGCTTTGAGTAAATAACATACAAGGGCAGCGGGTATGGTATCAAAGCTCTTATTTCCGTAACATAAAACACAAGTAATCAGTCATTGCTGTACAAAACTTACAACCAAATACATAATAAACACGTTATGAATTCAATTGTTTCACTGTGTATAAAACCTTTCGTGTCTTGAAGAGGCAAATCCTGACCTTGTCCACAATTGTATCAGTGAATGGTGTCGTTACCTTCGCATATCAAAGACAGAGACAGTTGTGCTGCGCTGCCCTTTAGCTTTTACAGTTAGCTAAACACAGAGAATGCCAGACAAATACAACTTTTACCTCAATACGGGGTATTTTAGACAATTCTGCACCTCCACCGGTTCACATGTTACATGACAGCGGCCGTCGCATTGTTGTGACGTCATATTCAAAGTAACGTCACGCAGTCGTGCCACGTGATCGTTCCACTGTTCTCCACAAAAAGTAAACACGTTTGTCTTCAAATTCGTGTACAAAGGCTATTTAATGCATGATTATTGGTTATACAAAAAAAAGGTTTTAAAAAGACGCTAGGTTAACTAAGGGGTGTGTATCCAAACTGTAAATATTGACAAACCTTTGGAAAGGGGGCCCGTGGTACTTGAAATGATTTAAATAAAAAATTAGGATTTTCAATTATCTCCAAAACTACTGCTATACAAGTGTTTATACTGCATGTATGTTATACGCCACGAGGGGGCAGTCACGCGAGGTTTTAACCAGAGTTTATACTACGACTGTACACTTAAATTCGGTACTTCAATAAATGTGTGTAACATTGGGCAAGAGCAAAGAAGCTGGACATGTTTTATTGTTACAAACCCACACTTAAACCCAATCAGCTAAATAAAATATTTGTTTCATATCATAGAATCACAAGAGGCTAATGACCTGCAGAGGCTTTTCTCATGTTTTGGCCATGGATCAGCTGCTGAGTGAGCGTGAACCACAATCGTATTTTTAATAGTACTTTATTTTATTCTATGAACAACATATGGATCATTCACAAAGTACCACTATCATATAAAACCATTCATGAATAACATTAAACATAGCGTCAAAAAAGAAAGTGCACAATACACAATTAGGTTGATAATAATGATAATAATAATGAGTGTAATGAGAGTATTTGAGTGTTTATTCAGGAAAAAATACAAAAACATTATTTTCTCCTCCACATTCCAAACCTACCCATAGAAATAGTGTATTGGCCAACCAATACTATAAAAATTCAGGGAACAACAAATTGTAAAACAACTTTAAATATCGAAATCAAGATATGGGGAAGACTGCACACGTGCATAGTCATCCTGAGCGAGTCATGTTGTCTGAGTCTTTTCTGGCGCTGCTACAATCCTCCTTGTACACCGTTTTTACTCGACTTTCCAGATAGCGATCCTCCCGTCCGCTCTGGCTGATCCGCTGAGCACGTACCGGCCCTCTGCGGAGCACAGGGTCTGGGTGCTGTCTGTGTGCGCCTGCAGCTCTTTATTCACAGCGTGAGTGTCTGAGTCCAGCACCAGGACCTGACTCCTCCACTGAGCCTCGCGGTCCGTGCGGCAGCCCACCCAGATCTGCACAGGTCAAAACACATCGATCACGACTGCTTCGAGTGATTCAAGAATGACGTCACACTTCACCTTTTCAGCCAAAGATGTTCTACGTCATGGTGCTACGTCCCTTAGGACTTCGCTAGTGGGATATCACGTGACCCTCAGGTCACACGCCAGAGAGATCAAAATAATTTGCTCCAATCACCAGCCACCTTCCTCTATAAATGCCCCTGCACAAGGCCGCACCCCCTCTTTCACTCTGGCGCCGATTCAATTACCTGAGGAAAGATGTCTTCTGATGCTCGTCCGAGTTCCCCTTCGCCATCCGGCGTCGGACGTCGTCGTTGCTCGCGGACGCGTCGCTCGAAGGATGGGGCGGGGTCCTCGGCCAGAGCTCTGTAGGAGGCTGCTGGTCGGACTCAGCCCGTCACATCAACCTGCTGGAGATGGAGGCAGTGCACAGAGTACTGCTGCACTTTGCCCCTCAGCTGCAGGGGAGACACGTGATGGTGCGCTCAGACAACACCACAGTGGTCTCCTATCTGAACAGGCAGGGGGGCACCAGGTCCCCCGCTCTCCATCGCATGGCGACGGTGACGCTGCTGTGGGCGGCGCTTCACCTCCTGTCTCTCAGGGCGCGCCACGTCCCGGGGGTCCGGAACGTGGGAGCCGACAGAATGTCCAGGGGGGGCCCACTCCAGGACGAGTGGGGCCTGGCCCCACGGGTAGCTGCGGAGATCTGGCGGAGGTTCGGCTGTCCAGTAGTCGACCTTTTCGCCAGTGCAGAGAACGCACAGTGCCCGTCCTGGTTCGCCTTAAGGGCCGCGGACGAGCCGCCTTTAGGCGTGGACGCTCTGGCTCATTACCCATGGCCAGGCGGCCTGTTGTACGCTTTCCCACCGGTGCGTCTCCTGCCGGTCCTGCTGCGGAGGATCGAACAGGAGAGGAGATCGGTGATTCTGGTGGCTCCGGACAGTCCGCATGCCCGGTGGTTCCCCTTCCTGAGGGGCATGGCGGTGATGGAGCCCTGGGCCCTCCCGGACGAGCCGGGGGCTCTAGTCCAGGGGGCAGGAGCCCTGTTTTCACGTCCGATAATCGGCCGCAGGCTCTGGGTTTGGAGGTTGAGAAGCGGAGCCTCGTAGATCTGGGTCTTCCCCCTGCGGTGGTGGAGACTATTCAGGGAGCGAGGGCGCCGTCCACCGTGAGGGCCTACGCCACGAGGTGGAGGCTCTTCAGTGTCTGGTGCGATTCCCGTTCCTGGGATCCCAGGTGTTGCCCGCTGGAGGGGGTCCTGGGATTCCTACAGGAGCTTTTCGACAAGGGGAGGGCTGTCGCTACCTTGGCGGTGTTTGCGGCAGCCATTACTTCGGGTCACGACGGGTTTGGGGGGTTCACAGCCCGCTCTCACCCGTTGGTTAAACGTTTTCTGCGGGGGGCGCGCAGGAGGAGGCCCCCGCTCCAGAGAACGCCTCCGGTTTGGGACCTCAGGGTGGTCCTTAGGGGGCTGTCGGGTTCGCCTTTTGAACCGGCGGCGGAGGCGAGTCCCGAGTGTATCGCTTTTAAGACGGCCCTCTTACTGGCGTTGGCGTCTGCTAAGAGGGCGGGCGATTTGTGTGCGCTCTCCGTCCATGCGTCGTGCCTGTCCTTTGGAGAGGACGACGGCATGGTGGAATTGTGGCCCAATCCGGCTTTTCTCCCCAAGGTCATCACGTCGGCCTTTAGGTCGAGAGTGATCAGGATTAGGGCTTTCTATCCGCCACCGCATGCCTCCCCCGAGGAGGAGCGGCAGCACCTTCTGTGTCCTATCAGAATGCTGAGGCATTACCTGGCCATGACGTCGTCATTCAGGTCGGGTGATCAGCTGTTTGTGTGTCTGGGCCCCAAGAACAGGGGCGCCCCGCTGTCGGCTCAGCGGCTGGCGCATTGGGTCGCCGCGGCGGTGCGACGGGCGTATCAGACGCAGGGCCTGGCCCCCCCGGTGGGTTTCAGGTTGCATTCCACGCGTGGGATGGCGGCCTCTACGGCCCTTCTCAGGGGGGCGTCGGTCGAGGACGTTTGCTGTGCGGCTTCTTGGGCGTCGTCCTCCTCTTTCGTCCGGTCTTATCTTTCGGATGTGTCGGACCGGTCGGTGGCCCATTCCGTGCTGAGTGCAGCGGATTGAGTTAGACCGTTGGGTCCCTCCCCTTAGGGGGGGCCTTCAGTCTAGTTTCCGCCCTGGTGCAGGAGCTCTTGGGAGAGGCATCCTACAGGTGCGGTACATTGTGTGTGTGGTCGGTCTGGTAGTCCACGTCAGGAGCTCTTGGGAGAGGCGTCCTGTGACTACGGATGACCTACGGCTTGTGTTACGTGGGGGTATCCTTGGTAGGAGTGGCCCCGTAACACGCTTGTTCTTCTGCCCTGAGTCCTCTCACGTTGTGAGGGTCTTACTCGGGCGGAGCTCCAATCACCCTTCGCTGGCCTGCTGGGAGTACATTTTCCTATGGCCTCCGCGTTGTGTCCCACTAGCGAAGTCCTAAGGGACGTAGCACCATGACGTAGAATTAATAGTTACTTAATGTAACTTAAGTTCTACGAATAGGTGCGTAGTCCCTTAGCTACGAGCCCATCAGGCCAGCCCGGCTTGGCAGAGTTCAAGAGGGGGTGCGGCCTTGTGCAGGGGCATTTATAGAGGAAGGTGGCTGGTGATTGGAGCAAATTATTTTGATCTCTCTGGCGTGTGACCTGGGGGTCACGTGATATCCCACTAGCGAAGTCCTAAGGGACTACGCACCTATTCGTAGAACTTAAGTTACATTAAGTAACTATTAAATATACAGCTTAGTGTTAATTTAGGTTTGTAAACAGGACTGTGTGATATACGCTCATGTTAAATAATGTGAAAACAAGTAGAAAGTGGAGAATATATGAATAAACATGAAAACAGTCATATATGGTGGAAGAAGTGGAAAATTAAATAATGATTAACTAATGAAATAATGTAATAAATCAGAACTATTTCTTATATCTCAAAACAGTTTAGTTTTATCACTAGTTTTCATATGTTTAATGTTTGAACTTTCACACATCTTCAGACCAGCTTTTTCAGTAACAAAGAGAGGGCCAGCCATCACTCTCAGTATGTAAAAGATAACATGTTTTCTAAAAAGATAAAGATAGCATGTTGTCATCGGATTTGTTCACAAAAGATACTTTTATAAGTCGTATTCTGTTGGGATAAACAAAATGTATTTGTGAAATGAATACAAAATTAAGTACTCCAGCTTTAACCCATGCAGCTGAAAATGACATGTTTACTGAAGAATTTCTAACTAAGAATTAATAACTATTTTGAAAGATTTGCAATAGTGTAACAAGTTTGAAAACATTGAAGGGAACGGCTTGTCCCTGTGAAATATTGTTGTTTTGTTTTTTTCACAAGAGAAATGTATGGACCTGGTTCTTGACTTGAATCATACAGGACACCCCTGAACTTCCAGAGAGCGGGATTCTCTTTGACGAGCGACGACTTTTGATGCTGAAGACAAACAGGTCTCCCAGGTCTGAGCAGCCAGTCCACAGCTGTCCCTGCTGAAAACAACAGGACTTTACTTGTACATGATGCTTGTCACAGCCCACTCTTCATGTATATTACTACATATATCTGGGGGCTGTAGAAGATCACATCTAGCTGTACATTTATCAATCAGTCAATCAATTAACTTTTATTTATATAGCACAGTTCATACAGAATACAACCCAAACATTTTTGTGTGTGTGCAAAATATATGAACATTGGAGCAAACAAATGTATGCACAGACAAAGATGAAACCACTAAAACTGCCCACGCTGTTTTACTTTGCACACGCAGTTCAGCTCCTGAGTAGAAAAACATCGCCCCATGTCTCTAACAGCCCCATCATCTCATTCTTTAACAATAACAGTATAGAGGGTAGACGTTTGGGGACGATAAAAAACAAAAAAAACAATGGATCAAGCGTTTTGTGGAAACTTTGTTTATATCGCATCATTTGCATTTGTGACTTAAAGGTATTTTGACCAAATAATTACTTTAATTGAATATGAGAATTTGTTTTCATATAATTACAATACAATACAATACAAAGCAATGAGGCGTTGTATTGCAGACTGCTGGGCTGAATAATGTGTATTTCTAAGCATTCAATGTTTATGGTAATGTAAATGGACTTGTTGTTTTCTTAATGAAATGTTCTTTAAAACAAAGTACAACAATGTGGGGGCCGCACATAAAACTTTGATGCCCACTAGGGGGCAACAAAATACCTGTTTTCGGGCCGCACGTTTGAGACCACTGATTCACAGTGTGTCACTAGAGCAAAGGCTGATGGATAGCTTACCATGCATTAAATAAAAATAGGACTGTTGCCAAAGTAATAAACATTGGGTGAATGGGTTGTGTTCATGTAGAGATCTATTTCAGTTGGAGGGCAGGTCCCAGTACAACTCTGTGAGAAAGAAGCAATTTGTGACAGAAATTTTGAAAAAGAAAATGTCCAAATGTTTTCCCAGATCCTTATTTGACAGTGATTCTCATTCTATTCTTAAGTCCTTTCTACTGGCCAACATCATGCATATGTTTTTGAATATTATCACCACTTCTAGACACCTTTAGAAGAAAATAATTGTAGAACTTGTGTTTTTGTTTGATGTGGAAATCGTCTGACTTTTGACTGTTACTTTATTTACCAGCAAAGATATTTCAACTGCGCTCCATCACAAACTATAGAAACGTGAAGTCACTTGAACGTAACCCATTGAGTGTTCTTACTTCTATCATCACCAGGAAACAGCTGAAGCTGCAGCTGCGGACGTCATCAGGAAGGACAATCCTCCTCTGTGGGATCCCACTCTTTTTCAGTTCCACAATACTGTCCACACAACCTGCACCAAACACACCCATCTTCACATATTTCTCTGGTTTGATGACTAAAGGAGCCAGTGTTGGCGACACGTACCGCACCACAGGGAGCCGTCGTGGATCTGGATGGAGCTGAGCCTGGAGCAGCTCAGGTAAAACTGTCGCTTCACTTTGAGGCTGAGAGAATCCCACAACAGGATGGTGCCATCGCAGCTGCAGGAGTACGTCACCTGGCTGCACACAGACACTCTTCAAATGCTATACAACAATTCATTTTTTATGTCAGTTATTTAACCAGAAAAGTACCACAGAGATTTCAGAATCTCTTTTTCAGGGAAGTCCTTGTCCCAGAGAGGGGAGCTATTGTACATGTTTCTAGTGGTAGGGGAAACTGGAGCACCTGGACACCTAGACAGACACAGGGAGAACATGGGAATTCCACTCAGAAAGGGACCATCTGGAGGTGGAATCTAACCCAGGATGCTGAGAAGGTCAATGCCATGTAGTAGTAGTAGTAGTAAGTAATCTTTATTTATATACCGCCTTTTCACTGCAGATCTGAGTCTCAAAGCGGTTTACAATTGTTAATTTTGGGCATTTGTCTCTCACTCCACACAGAGATGAAAGTGGGGTCGCTAGTACATGCCCATGCCAGAACTATTGGACATATTTTTAGTGGTAGGGGAAACCGGAGTACCCGGAGGAAACCTACGCAGACACGGGGAGAACATACTGTACTAAGTATGAGCCTATGAACACTCAAACTTCCAAAAGACCAGTTCAATATGTTTGAGGAAGTGATAGAACTGGGAAATGATAAAATGTCTAAAGAAATTATTATTATTCTTTCCACATTGACTGAAGACGAGTTACTCCTGAATGTGACTTGTACCTCTTATGCTCGCGTGTGTCCACAGTCAGGCCCGTCACCTCGTGCCTGTGCTCCGTCAGCTGTTTGTTGCAGGACATGCTGTGAGTGTCAATGATGTAGATCACAGAATCCACGGAACCCATCCACACCTGCTCCTGAACCAGTCCCAGCATGCAGTTCTGCAACAAACCATGTGATAGGTCAAACAACCATTCCATAAAAATATATACATACAGTAAATAAATAAATAGATAGATAGATAAATATAAATACTTTATTGATCCCCTGCAGGAAAAAATCAGGTGTCCAGTAGCAGCAGAAACACAAATAAATAGATCATTCTAAAAATACCTAACAAATGCAACTGCACTTTAGGTCACAGCAGCAGAGGTGGTGTAGCCGCTTGGTTGGGACCATTTTCTCTGCTCTGGTTCAAAGTAAAAGGCTGAATGCTTTGTTAACCTTTTTAAAAAGTCAGCATTCCTCCAGTGGATTTTCACCTGATCCGCTTGGTTTGGACCATGAATCCTCTTTGTTCTGGTTTGGACCAGTGCAAAACTATCAACACTACTGCAGCAACATCTCAGGTAGAAATTTTAATAATAATTGTAATAGTAGTCATGTATAGGGGTGACGGTTATTACTGTTACTAGGATTATTGACAGGGATAGTAGGTTAATTTAGGGCTGAACCCGGTCTACACAATTTTAATAGATATGTCAGGGATGAAGCAGACAGAGACGGATCGTGGTGCGCCAAACTCTGGAAGTTTATTTACGTTTCTCTCAAGTTCCAGTGGTTTCCTTTGTTTCCTTCTCCCAGACAGAATAAAGGCAGTACACAGTTTATATAGTCATTGTCACGTCACACATCGAAAGACGTACGTGTCACACAGAGACAATCACATCATAGTCAAAATAATCAGAGTCCTTGTACAGTCCTGCACGTAGGCCATATTGCTATCTAATACTAACAGATAGATTAACCCAAAAAAGGATAGAGATATTGGAATGGTTGGTGCTGGTCGGGGAAGCCCAGAGCAGCTGGCTACATTAGTAGCTCATCTCCACCATGTAGGGAGTAACGGAATAATGTAATGTAAATGTAAATATGCACATTTTTGTAGGGAAATGTGTTCTTTGCATTTGAACCATCCGGATGCCACTAAGGCTTCCGTCAGGAGCAGTGGTAGCCGTATTACAGACCCATCTCTAGATGTCGGTACTCGACTTGGTCAGGACCGGAGCTGGAGGATTTTACCTATTAGGGGAAACCGGCGCACTCGGAGGAAACCTACGCAGACACAGGGAGAACATGCTATACTCAGAAAGACCCTCTTCCTCAGTGGGAACGCCCATTAAAACGTGTCTTGCATATCACCAGAATGATTTACAATAAGGAGGACCAATAGTTAAGATGATCCACCCGGAAGTAGAAAATCCTCCCATATACCTTTAAGATGACTCATTAAACCACAATGAGTTCAAGAATAGCATCAGTGGGCAGATAACACAACTGAAGAAACACTATGGTGATTATGTCCTTTTTCGGATTTAAAAGCAGCAAGCAGCATGAGACAGCTTGGATATTGCAGACTACTATGGAATGGAGTCTATTTATCACATAAAGATTTATACACATGTTTGTATACATACAGTATGTTTTCTTTATCTTTAGAACAGGGGTATCCCAAATGTAGCTCGGGAGCCAGCGGTAGCTCGCCACCCCCTTCCAGGTAGCTCGCCAAAGGATTCAGAAATTAACAAATTAAATAATATATTTAATATTTCAGGTTCTATAATTCATTAAGATAGACTTTATTATCATAATTTATTACTGTAAATACACTTACTTTGTGCACTAGTAATACATATGTGATGAACAAACCCATCTCAACCTTCATCACAATACGCCAGAACACGCATGAAATTCAAGATTTGGACAACAATAAACATATTCCCAAAATTATAAGCTGCGTTTTCATTGAGCATCATGTTTCGAAATTTGAGTTTGTGCAACAGAAAAACTCTAATGGAAACATGCACATTTAAAATAAATCACGGTTCATGATGAGGAGCCTCTTCTGTTTCTTCATTTTTAAATCTGACTTGTGTGTATTATTTTGATCTGTATGTTTTTTTTAAATGTGAAGTGCTTTGTGATCCTGGACTGTGAAAGGCTCTATAAATTGGTCTGTGTGACCAATTTATTTATCTGTAAATCTGTGGCAGGCCTTGCGCTGCGTAATTACGCACGATTATCTGTTTTTGCTCATTCACATCTGGCAAAGCAATGTATTTTTTCCATTAGTTATGAAAGCCTCACACAGACACACACCCCATGAACGCACCAATGAACTATGGTATTGCTCACTCCAAATGTCTCACTGCCCTGTCCACATGAGCAGTTTATAGACAGGATGGCAACGCGCTTATCTCTTGAGCAGTGCGCAGCGGGTGCCATGAGAGGTCGCGTCTCAGAACTCCTCAAATGTAGTGCTCGTCATTCAGAAGTTTTGGATCCAGAGTTTCTCTGTCAAATCCTGGACCACAACTTCCCAAAAGCTTCTCACCCTCTCTCAAGTGTACAGCGCTTCATTGCATTCACAAGATGCTGCAGACGCTTCATTCAGTTAATGATGAGACCCACTGCTGAGGCTAGTAATATTTATGAATTCATTCATTAATTCATTCTTTATTTATTCATTTACTTCTAGAGTTCAAGAGAGATTTTTTTAATGTATCAAAAAAGTTTTTCAAATTTGTTCAAAGGAAACGCAGCTGAATATAGAGTATATTTATTTTTACATAAACATGAACAAACAAACGTATGCTCGGATCTGGGCCCATCTCACACGTTCATAAATCCGACGTTGGATCTTGTGCATTTTGAATCTACACCCAAAATGTACACCTTTTTCTGCGCAAGTTTCATAAATGAGGGCTTTTTCAAAGTGCAAGACCTAATTAACCTTTGGGCAAAGAACCTAAAACTGATCAGCTCTCTCCACGTGGAGGACATAGAAAAGGCTCTCACCAGCTGGGCCTCTCCCACCATGATGCAGTCGTGTAGAATGGACCAGGTGGTGGCATCAAACACCACCACTCGCCCTCCGCTCAGAGCCACCCACAGCTTCGGGTTCATCTCTCCAGAATCAGCGGACGTCAACTGACCTAAGCAGAAACATTTGATTTGGTTTATTACTTTATCAAATAACACATTTTAGACATTATCTTTATTCATGTTTTCCCTTGTACTAGCTGAAAGAAACAGTAGCTGACAAAGGCATAGTGGTTGAAAAGTCTTTATGAAGAAATAATTGAGGTCTAAAAGTTCTGAATGCGATGCTGTCTTGGAACTTGTGTGCGTTACTTGCTTCTCTAATGTTTTTCCTTGAACATGATCAAGAGAATTTACGTAGAATTTCAAGTTCTTGAATGTGAAACAATTTCTTAATTGGAAAATGTATACACATTAAATAAGGGATGATCAGGAATGAGCAGCACAGAAGTGGTAGAAGAGAAATAACATTCTGCTCATACAATTATTATTACTGGTTTAAAGGGGACATATCATGAAAAATCCACTTTTTGTGCCTTAAATGCCTTTTGTTGTGTAGTTGGAGCCTCTAGAAGTGCAAAAAAGTTGAAATCAGTCTCTTCATGGGTTGCAGAGAACACTTCATATTCTGTTTAGGTAAGATTTTTCAACCCGTTCTGATTTTGCCATTCTCTATTACGTGTTTAGAATTATTACGTCACAGTATTTGCAGCGAGACTGCTATATAAGGGCATGGGCGTCTAACAAAACACTTCGGCCCAGCCCTCCTCTACTGTGCATCACTTAATTTGTAGTCCAAGCTCAAGGATGCCAGCGAACATGTACAGGGCTGGACTGGCCATCGGGCGTACCGGGCAATGCCCAAAGGGCCGATGCCCATATTTGGGCCGGTCTCTCTGCCTCATACAAAACACATGTTTATGAGAAGTGTAAATCAGTTGAGAATTGTTGGAGCGGGGCGCGCGTACTGTATACGCGGGGCACCTGCTGTATGTACTCGAACGGGATTCCGCCACCTCAGCGGCCGCAGTGTTCCGGGGCATCTGCGGCCGCTTTGTAATGAGCAGCTTCCGCGTCCAGCGGCTGCGAGAGGCTGTGAGCGTCCAGCCGCTCGCAGCCGCTCCACCGTGTTGTGGTTGAGCGCGCAGCCTCAACGTGGCCATGTACCCAACCCCATAAACGCGCACAGGACCATGCGTGTCTTTGAGTAATCTGTGCACCCAATAAATACACTGCTGCAGGAAACAGTCCGCGTCTCCCCCTCCTCTCGAAGCGCGATTAAACACCCTAAATAAAGCTCTGATACCTACATTTTGCATTGCATTAAAAGTTCATGTTTGAGCCCAAAAGTAATATGTTGTGAACAAATTAAACAGATTTAGAGCCTGCAAATGGCTGACAATATGCATTTCAGTCTTTTTTGACCAATTCTCATCCCTGTAACAAACAATAGTGTTGTCTGTGTCCACCTCCCACACTCTGAGACATGTTTATTACTCTCTTGTAATGTAGACTATTGCATTTTATTTTATTGTTGAAACTGCACATATCCTGATCATCTACAGTATTTGCTTCCACGTACTGTATAAACCAGGAGTCGGCAACCTGCGGCTCCGGAGGCGCATGCGTCTCTTTCCTTCTGTAGAAGGAAAAACGTTCTTAACGTTTTTAAATGCTGTAAAATTGTGCATAAGTAATATTCAATTTAAAAATGTCTGTCAACGTGTCTGTCAAACCGGCGTGTGAGCATCATAGACTGTGCGCATTGATCCCAAAACTAAAAAGAGAAGAGTCGATAATAAGACTTGACTAAGAATGAAAATTAACATTTGCTTTCAGTCAATGAGGAAGGACTGCTTCATGTTTGTGATGTAATGAGAAGTTTCTATGAGAGTTTCTGTGCTTAGAAACTAAAAAAATGGCCGCTCGGGGTGGAGTTGAACCTGTGTCACCTGGATGGGGGGGTGGTCAAAAGCGCCTCATTTGCATTTAAAGAGACAGCACCAAAACAGGTTGCTCTCAGACGCACCTCAGAACAGGTGTAGAAGAAAGGCCCGTGGAGCTACAAATAATGAGACTCAGACCCAGGCATTGCAGTTACGCTTTATATAGGCCACAAATTAATGATTTAGATGTAAAAATCAATTATTTGAAAACACGATATGTCCACTTTAAGCAAAAAAAAGAAATACAGGTGAAACTTGGAAAATCGTTCAAAAGTCTATTTACTTCTTGATGTGAAACTACTATATGAGAGATTACATGCAAAGCAAAGTAATATAAAAGGGATGATATACAGAACGCATGCCATTATCCGAAAATAAGAACCAACAGGACAAAAGGCTTCCGCCTTGAAGGTACTTTATACTGCTTATTATACGGCTTTGTGCCAACTGAACACAAAATAAATGTTAGTTTTTCCGTGCCGTGGCTATGCAAGTAACAGCTAGGCTACTTCAAAACTAGGACTCTCTAGAACTACATGAAAACAGAACAAACATCAGCGGTAAGTAACCCTAATATAAACTCAACCTAAATCCAAATTCAGATACTCTGCAAATACGTCCTAAAATGTTTCATTAATGTTAATAGTTACTTCCGGGTTTACCACAATCGCTTTTTGTCATGCAAACCTTAACAGATATGTTATTAAAAATGTATAAGTATAATGTATTATCCGATTAACATTCAAATGTGTTGATTGATTGTCAATAAACTGTGTTTATTGAGTAGAGCTAGCGTGGCAAGCTCTGACAGCTTGTTGCTGAAAGTCCGTTGACGAAGTGGCCGGACTACTTGCGGAGTGATCTTTATACACCTGAATTATAAGCAGAGATTGCGTTGCCATAGGCAGTGGTCATTATTGGTTTGAGAGGTCTGTTATCCAGAAATAATGGCCGGTATAATGTTTTGAAAAAACATTAAAATCAATGGAGCGTTCTACTGCTGTGAGGAGCTGTATAATAAGAGTCTAAATCCTATTGGTTTCATATTGTAAGTGGAATTTCATCAATAAATGAGCTTCTGAACAATATTCTAATGGTCTGAGTTTCACCTGAAGTTCATGTTAAAATATACATAACAAAATTAAGCACAAATCACAATGAGCCATGTCCCCAACATGCTTTCTTTTGCTATTCAGCACCCTTTAATTGTATTTTTGAAAGTAGTCAGAAATGTCTTCAAACCAGTGAAAAGGTTCCATACGCAAATTAGGGGAAAAAATACATTCAGAATAAAAATCAGAATTCAATAGTCATTTTAAGCATAAATCAAGTGTATATTATAAAACGGAGTACACAAACAAAAGGAGGTTAAAAATAGCTGTCTTGTACTTTTCGTATAGAAGCACAAGACCAGTGATGCACATGCAGCACATTTAACACATTTCTCTGATTAAACACAGTACAATAATAGCTTCTATAAGTGGATTCTTGACATACTGTTCTGCTGTGCTGGTAAAACATCTGGGCCATTTATCAAACAGTATCTGTACCATTAGGGCATTATCTTTTGTTTTTTGTATAATTTTCACACACAAAAATCCCTTCCCCCCCTCAATTATATTTTAAAACTGGACATATTGTTAATTCCTACCTGGAGTGTAGAGAAGCACATGCACACTCTGGGGTTCAGAAAGGTGCTGGGACGGGTTGATCTTATGTTTGAGAGTCTCGGAGGTCACTTGGGGAACCTCCATAGGCACTGAGTTCACAAAATAAGTGTTAGATTAGGGTGTATTTTGAGTAAGAAGAATGATGGAGTTGTCCTACCTTCAAGCTTGAGTTTATCTAAATATGCGAGTTTGGAGGCTGCCAAGATGGACTTTTGGGTCTGCAGCGAGCCGACCACAGCATCCATCAAGAGGACGTTGGTCAGAGCTTGGTTCATGTACTGGGGATCCTGCATACAAGTCAGAATGAATGAGGATATCCACAAGGGGAATTATTATATACATTTAAAGCTGGAGTACCTTCTATTGAAACCACCAAAAACCCAACAATGTGATAAAATCTATGTATTTAGTTCCGCGCTTCTATGCTTCTAATGTTTGCTAATGTGTTTTTGGCTTCTGTCACATCTTTGAATCAGCTTTTTAAAGAAAAATGTGGCCAGCCCTCAGAAAGTAAAACATAAAAAAAAACAATTAAATCCGCAAGCGGTGTTGAGTGGCCCTTGCCGCACCGCACAACGGAGGGGCACAGACACATCTGAATACAGCCCTGATGGGAGAAACACTAATACTGTGAGGTACTGGATCCAGCTTTAAAGAAGAAACAATCTGTATTATCTTTGCCTATAAATTGATGAGGAGAAATAACTTAGTGGATTTTTGGTGATTGATGACAACTTTTTTATTATTTCAAAGCTACATATAAACAGGGGACTGGGGCTGGGGCTAAAGCACATGATGGAAATGAGGTCATACTTACAGTAGATATTATAACATTATGCTTTTGGAGGGTCATGTTTTGTAAAGAACTTTGAATTGCCTTGTCTATGAACTGTGCTACACAAATAAACTTGCCTTGCTGTAATTACATATTCCCTTGATGGACATTTGTGGGTTTAAGTTTAATATTAAAGAATAGAAGGAGAGGAAAACAAGAACACAGAGTAATCTAATGTTACTTTTATGGTTTTAGGGTTTGGATATATTTTTTTGGTATGTTTTCTGAATAAATTGACTGCAGTTAAGCTTGGATTGAAACAGAACTGGGCTAAAGATAAATATGCAGGACAGACTGATTTATAGGTTTTTAATTGTTAAAAACCCCAACAACTAATAATTATGTTTTAATTATGCGTAAAATATGATGCACGGTATTGTTTTTCTGTGAAATATAGTTTTTAAATTATGTATAATATGCCATGGTTGCATATTAGCCGGATGGGAAGAAGTCAAGGCTCACAACAGATAGTTAAATATCACGCCATTATCAATCTCTCATCATTACATAAGTTGTGTGTGAAGGATAAATGGATAAACCAATAGAGAGAGAAGAGAAGAATCCCACATCACCAAACCTTGCAAACATACTTGTAATAGTGCAAAGTTTTGGTTTTAGCAAAGAATATAACGCATATTTTGAAAGTACTCCTTCCTCTGTAAAACCAGTGGCCTTGATGATTAATCCAATGTTCCGTAGAAAGACGCAGAGATGTTCTTGTACCTTGTGCTGGTCGGCCATCTTGCGCCCGGTCCACATCTCCTTCACGACGAGGTTCCACAGTTCGGTCTCTGTTTTTAGATTGGCCTCAAACACCTCAGGACGACTGCTGCACTTTATACAAAGAGATGGGATTCGCAGGAGGAGGAACGGAGCAGAGGAAACTTTTACCTCCTGCAAACAGAACAGTCAAAGAGAACTGACGGAGTGACATACAGTGAGTTAATCCAGATCTAGACCACCGCTTCTACTTCATACATTGGTTGAAATTTGATTAGTAAAAAATCTATTGAGAATAAAGAGACAACTTCATTTGTGTGTGTTTTTTCAAGACCTCATTGCAACTAGTCAAATACATTCGGAAATCAAGACCAAAATCCTGAAAATACCAAACTGGGAGGTTTGTCACAGGAAAGACTATTTCATTTTTGAAAGCAACATATCACTCAAAATCGTTATTATTAGAGCCATCCAGGAGGAATAATATGAGGAACTTCTGGCACAAACATTCAACTCTGCTCCTTATGTCTAAAAGTTCCTGTCTCAGTCCTGTAATAGTGTGATGTTGTTGTGCCACCATCACACAGCAGTTTTATGTCCTCTCAAAGAAAATGATTTCCCATAAATACACTTTTGGTTTGATCAGGTTCTTTACATTTGCATGGCTGTGTGTGTGTGTGTGTATCAGGTTGTATGTGTATATGGTCCAAACAAGAAGTATAACAACAGTAACATATAGAAAAAGTCAGCAAATAAGTTCAACAAAACCAAGGTCCACTTATACCTGGATGTCTCTAAATTTAGTTATTTCCAAGAAGTGAGCTCGGCCCTCAGGAAGCAGGAAAAGGCGTTTCTGTGTCATGGCGATCTTCCCCACTCCGTGCGAGGTCTTCACACAGGAGGAGAGTTTGAAGACACATTCGCTGTTGTCCAGTTGTTCGATGACATCAGAGGGAAGGTTCACGTGTTGAGCTTCAGCCTCTGTCTCCTTCCAAAACATGTAGAAGTCTCGAAATAGGTCAGGGTCCACTTGTTTGGACACATCTGGGAGAAAAAATATTCATCACAGCAATGCATGACCAACATCCCTTGACAAAGTCGTGCTTTATATATTGTCATTGTTTGGGAGTCATTGCGAATGAGATTTCCATAGTGCCTTGTCCCAGTCCTTATATATTTAAAGCTAATCCTGTTAAGCCATGCAAGCTGTTGAAAATAAACAACATGAAAGAAAAGTATTTGTATCTAATGTACCTTATGATTACAGACTAAAAGAAAGCAACAACATGTTGCCTTAAATTATTCATTTTACATGTTATTGACAGTGTTGGTTAACATTCTATATGAAAAATAAATTATCTATCTATCTAGAACAGGGATGTCAAAGTGAAATACATCAGTGGGCCAAAAAATAAAAAAAATGCTACAACCCAAGGGCAGGACTGGTTTAATGTTTATTAAATAATATTTAAATGATATTGAGACTGTTGAAAAATGTTTTCACTTTAAAGAGAAAACACATGTCGTGAACATTAAATAATTAATCCAATGTTTTCTTATAGCTCTGTGAGGCTGGTGCTAAATGCTAATCAAATGTCATCCTGGGGGCCAAGATAATTCATTCGAGGTCCGGATCTTGCCCCCCGGCCTGGACTTTGACACCGAGGATCTAGAACTACTTTAAAATCAATGTGTATCTCAGTGGGATCACTAGCTGCATTAACATAATGAGCTTTACTTTTAACTTCATGATAGGACTTGTGTGCGTGTTGTCATGAGAAAAGGGAGGACGAGATAACCTCTCAGCAATTATTGGCTGATGTTAAACATATTTCTTTTACAATCAACATGTCTACAGCTGAGAGGATGGGTCATAAATTGTGTTTCTGACAACAAATATGGGTCTTAATCTCAACCACGGCTTGTAATGTCACCAAGTGAGGCCAGCCTTAGGGTAGGGGGCGCATGTGAGCGCAGAATCCGGCTGCATCCCATTCCAACAGAAAGCTCCTTTCTTGTTCTTCATCTGCTAAGGCCAGTAACAGGTTTGGCTAACATACATATTTTAAGATAATTTAAAATGCATCTTGAGTAATGTTCCAATGACGATAGGAATGATGAGAAAGAGAGGTGAAGGGTGAGAAGGTTGATTTTAGAAATTGGATGCACCAGAGATTTGGCTGCAGCTAGCGAAACATGAGAGGATTTTATGGAGGAGACACACGTTTTGTTTTACTTTTTAAAACTCATTGGACTTATTTCCAAATGGAGGATTACATATCTACGCTGTCTATTTACCTATGGGTGTTTAGTGCTTACAGCACACAGAGAAAGATGGAGAGTGAAGAGGACCTGACCATCAGTGAGTGCGTCGAACAAGCGGTGGATGGTGGCCACGTCTTTGACAATCCCACACTCCTGGACACAGCGCACAAACTCCTCCAGACACAGAGGCTTTTTGGGCAGCTCAAATTTCTTCACATGGTCCTTTCCCGGGTCTGATGTTTTTTCATTTTCAGTTTTTACCTAAAACAAAGCAAGATCAGATTCTATATCAGACAAATGTATGTCTTAATCACATCGCTATCTTATAATTGTCTGTAAGATAGAAGAGCTATTAACTAAGAAGACAGGAGGAGCTTTCCTAAACTGGCATAAACTGGCATACACTTCTATCTGTCTGCACTATCTCAATGCTATCCCTGGAGGGAGGAGTTCAATTTAGGTTTTTGTCCAAATTTGACAATATACCACATTCCGTCATGTGATTATAAAGAATGTCCTTTCACTTGAAAAATTACCAAAACTGATTTATAATTTTTGGGAGGGAGAAAGCTGCTCCGAGCAAGACGTCTGTTGTTACATACTGTACCAGTACAGGACTAAGCTTTTAGGCTTTTTAAGTATCTAAAAACAACTCCAGGATTAACATTGTGACCTGCAACTCAATTTTGCCCTAATATGTCTTATCTTGTCCTATCTTGGACGTACTTTGAGGATAAGGCGTTTGAGCTCTGGCCGCCGGTCCGCCTGCTGCCTCTCGTCGCGGTGCAGAGAGTCCACCAGCCATGTGACCAGAGCTGTGGGGAAAATGGCCATGTCCGTCTTACACAAACTCTGGAAGTCACTCAGAGCGTCCAGACGCCGCGAGCAGAGAGTGTTTATGAGGCCGCGCAAATAGTAGAATCTACAGAAGGGAAAAATCAGTTATATCATATTTCTATTTCAGGGTTTGTAAAGGTTACTTCAAGTCAAATTCAAGTTTATTTTTACTTTAAAAGACTAATCATTGAGAACAAAAACCCCATTTCAAATCCGCAGTCTATTTCACAGAAGTACAGGAAAGACATTTTTTAATTTACCAATCATTATTTATTTAGATAAATAAGTTATTATTGCACATCTGCTTGGGGTGTGCTATCAGAAAAACTGAAATATGCCTTGCCTTCTGAGATGTTTTATTTGTTTTTTTTTACAAGCCGTGAGTCACAAATTAACATTATAACGTATGAAATCTTGATATATCTCACTTTACATGTAAAGAGTCATTTATCATTTTAGATACATTGTAAGCTAAATCTCAGAATGGAATTGATTCTTTTTTGATTGATATATTGATATATTGAGTTTGTTAATTAATCAACCTAATGGCAATGGACAAAATAATTGTTTTTAAGAGAATGCAATGTAAAGAAATGTCATACAGCGATCATTAAAAAAAACGTATTTTTACGGTATTATTTTTTCATAAGGTATTATAAATTCATGAATTCAAGACATTTTAAGGTCCTGCAGGAACCCTGTATTTACAATGCTTACAAAACAATACGATACAATACAATAGGTAATTTAAAGTGCTGTGATACCTGGCCAATAAAGCAGAGTTTTCATGTTGCACAGAAAAGATGGCCTTGTTGAGCTGCTGAACAAGTTCCATGTAATAACTTTGGATGGAGTGGAAGGAGAGGGAGGCCGGGAAATCTGGGAGCTTGAACATCTTTGGAGGTTTCGGTGATGTTTTAAGTGCTATTTAGAGACAAGAATAAAAACTATGTCAGTAATGCATTAGATTGGGTGTATAGTATGTATATCTGCTGTAAAACCTTGGTCGGTAGTGATTTTGTGGAGCAGGCTGTTCCTGGGCAGGCTCAGGAGGTTGTGGTCCCCCAGGTTGGGCAGACTCATGCCCTGCCGCTTCAGCTGCAGCTCGGTCACAGAGCTCCGCCTTCGCTCCTGGATCTCCTGCATGGTGGGTCTGCGGGGAAGTTCCACTTTGGCTTTCATCCTGAGACAATACATATTGCACTTATTGGTGGATCGGGTATTGGTTTGATGATATGGGTTCAGCCGCATTCTTGATAACGCCTTAATTTTGATGTATTTCAATAACTGCATACAACAGTGTTTCCCAACTGGGGGTGCGTGCACAAGGGAATTATTTGGGCTACTTAAAATGCAAAATTTCAAAACATAAAAAGAGTGAGTACTGAGTAGAGGTCATTTTATTCCAAACTTTGAATAGACTACGCAATTACCATCAATACTATCAATACTCGGTCATGTATGGATAAGCTAATCCCATGCCTTCTTGCTTTTGGTCCAATTTGGATTCAGTCCAAGTTTGTTCAGAATAAAAGAAAAAAAATCATGTCAAATAAACGCATATAATTGGTTAAAAAAACAAATAACATTTACCGGTCAATAATCGGATGCAAAATTGGCCAAAACACTATAACGGGTTGTGGCCCTACCAAATGCATTTGACCTATGCGGCACGGTGGCTGAGTGGATAGCACTCTCGCCTCTCAGCAAGAAGGTCCTGGGTTCGAATCCCGGTCGGACCAGGGCCTTTCTGAGTGGAGTTTGCATGTTCTCCCCGTGTCTGCGTAGGTTTCCTCCGGGTACTCCGGTTTCCCCTACCACTAAAAATATGTCCAATAGTTCTGGCATGTGCCTCCTATACTGGCGACCCCGCTCCCATCTCTGTGTGGAGTGAGAGACAAATTCCCCAAAAAAAAAATATATAAATAAATAAAAATTAACAATTGTAAACCGCTTTGAGACTCAGATCTGCAGTGAAAAGGCGGTATATAAATAAAGATTACTTACTTACTACTACTACTACCTATGAGAGTTTTGCACGTTTTTTTCTCCCTCATTGACTGTCTTTACGCTGGTGATGGGGTAAACGGGAATAAGAATGCATCCTGACTTACAGTACAGGGTCAACTAGCTTTGAATACAATTTGGCCACTTTATAATAAGAGATTTGATGGAAGCATAATGCCATTGTCAGTCCCTTCACTGGTGTGAGTTCATATCAGCCAGATCGGTGTATCTCTAAGTTACACTGTACTCAAAAGTATTCATGTAGCAAATTAGGTAAAGTTACTTCTGTGTTTCGGAGCGTGTGCTGAGTTCCATCTTTGCAAAGTTGTCCATTTTCTTATTGAGCCGGTCTTTAAGAAAGGAATGGAAAATGTGTGTCTCCAAAACCTAGACACAAACCACAGCCAGTTAAATTAAAGTGACACACTGCACAATATCCTGCGTTTGTACCTTAGTATAAAAAAGCTGCTCGTTGGGCTCTCTCGTCTTCAGAAACTCTTCACTGTTGAATACTCGGTGCTCATAGTTAAGATGGCTGCAGACGTCTCTGTTAATCGCACACAACACAGATGAAAAATGCTTCTCAAATGCAAACTTACTTTCATGTCCTGACCTGAAGATGTTAACGATGAGCTCCAGCGAGATCCTCTGAATGCCGTGATTGAGGTTGTGTTGCCAGGTTCGTCTCTGAGCTCTGTGTTCATTTATGTCGGTGCTGCTAGCTCTGTGACACTGGCTCAAGTCGAACTGAGTATGTAGTGACTGGCACCTGGCAACGCACACATGGACAGTGTTTCTCAATTAGGGCACTAGGGGGGCCACATTCTTAGGTTGTACTGTAAGTTGTTTATGGGATGATTTATGTACTCTCTGTAGAGGCTCTTTGTGGGATACCTCTGTGTGAAGCACTCAGCGGCGGACACTGGAATATCCGGCAAATCAAGGGTCTCAGAGCAAGATGTGGACACGCTCCCATTATCCAGATTAATAAGGACAAGATCATCTGTTTCCTGAGTAGAGAGGCAGTTAAAGTCTAAGTAAGCCTTTGGGGGTCATGACACTGTATGTATACACTACATGTTTATAAATTCATTTCCAGAAAAGGTAACGAGAGCACATTTTGCAAGTTACCTACAGATGCAACTTCTTCATAATGACTGATGTGACAGCCCATGAGGAACGCCGTAGGAGCCATGAGGAAGTCCAACATGCTCCGGGACAGAACTGGGACATACGGGTGCTGCCAGGACAGAGGCTAAGAGAAGGACCATCATTGATTCTCATTTGAATCTATCTATGTAATATTTAGTCATGCAATTGTCAATAAAACACACACCCACAGGAAGAGAAGTAGACATTCTGCCACCAGAGTGAGACGAGCCCAGTCTGCAGAGAACAGCACCACACGCTGCTCCTGCAGCAGACACGACAGCACCTGTGCACGGACAACACAAACTCATTAACCAATACTTTGTAATGCATCTGTGCGACCTGCTGTGCACACGAAAAATGGATGGGTTAAGATGTGTTTTCGACACATCCTAACCGTTGTCGAGCAACCACCAGTCAGTTTCCCATTAGGCTCAGCATCCACTCTACAGTGGCATACTGTGTTCCGAGAGGTCTACAATCTCAGTATTAACTAAGCCCTACCATGCTTAGCTTCAGAGTTCTGAGGGTATTAGACTTTCACATGCAGGTGGTGGCTCTGAAGGTGAATTGTCCAATAGCGGTGAGTGACAGATCTGTACTAACATACATACTGTATAAATAAATGATGTACTGTATGCTACTGTGTAGTATTATAAAGATATGTATACAAGTATCCTGTTTACAGTGCATAGTGGCACACCTGCAGTAACTGCTGTGGTCTGAAGCAGAGCAGGGGCAGATGCAGCTGCAGGTCCACCGTGGGACTGTCCCTGTCCTCTCCTGACGGCAGAGTAATGGTCAGAGGCCTCAGAGTAAACATCTGCGACAACACAATACTTGTTAAAGACTTTTCAGCCACACAAACACAACATGCTGTCCATACTGGAGCTCACCAGATGTAAGTGTCCGGGGGGAGGAGCAGGCACCAAGGCCAGTTTAGCTGTGAAATCCTTCACTCTGTCCTCCAAGTCCGACAGGCGACAGGTCCTCAGCTGAGGCAAGAAGCTGAGCACAGGAGAGAGTCACGTGTATTTCAAACCAAACCTCATCTGCTGCAACACAGTCCTGTAGACTCACCACGATAAGCTATCCTTCAGTGCTGTGAAGAACGGGTACTTTGAGATCACACAGAAACTAAAGGCAGAGAACATCTTTGGGTAGCCAGTTCCATTCTGATTTGAGTTTTGTGACAGATCGTCCTAACAAAAGGGGTACAAGTACTTACAATTACTTTATTACAACCACTATTACATATTTGAAAGGAAGCGCTCAGTACCGAAATAGCTTTGAAACACTGCATGACGACACTGAAGGTTTTATTGCCAAAAACATCTGTAAACACTAGAAAATGAAACTGCTCTTCTCTAGGTTCACTGGATACTTGAAGACCACCTGAAAAACAATGAGGATACAATTATTATTATTACTCCCAAGTGCAGATTGTAGAGGAGTGTAAGTTTCTGGGTCTAACTCTGTCTAATGACCTGAAATGGGTTAAAAACACTGACCGGGTCGTAAAGAAAGCTCGTCAGCGTCTCTACTTCCTGCGGAAACTTAGAGAATTTACCACTAACTCTAAGATTCTGCTGAACTTTTATCGCTGCACCATTGAGAGTTTACTTGTTGGTTCTGTGTCTGTGTGGTTCGGTAACATCACAGATAAAGAAAAGAGAGCTCTAAACAAGGTGCTCCGCTCTGCTAAGAGGACTGTAGGCTGTGAGCTTCCTGTCCTGGAGGCTCTTTATCAATCCAGACTTTTTAACAGTGCCCTGAGAATTATCAATGACTCTTCTGGCCACCCAGGAAAAGCCTTGTTCCAGCTTCTTCCCTCTGGCAGAAGATACTGTTCTCTGAGATGCAGGACATCTCGTTATGCTAATAGTTTTTTTCCACGAGCTGTTAACAGTTTGAATAGAGTACTTTAATGTTTTTGCACTCGTATAGATCTGTTTTAAGTTGGTCAACTTCACGGTGACATTTGTTTACTGTTTTTAAAATTTGTTTTATTTTTGTCTTTTAATGTTGTTTTGTGTCTGTACTTGTCCTGTGCACACTGGGAACTTTTACAAATGTATTCCAATGTAGTGTTACTGCAAATGGCGAAATAAATGAATCTGAAATGAATCTGAATCTGAATCTGAATCTTATTGACCACAATAAACATGACTTAATGGTGCATAACTCATACCAGGGAAGCAGAGCTGAGGTAAAGCCACGAGATCTATGTCCTCGGGCACACTCACGTCCTCACTTCCTCTTTGCTCCACTCCTGCTCGACCTAAAATAGGATAAAAACAAGTATATAAAAAATGTACCACCTCTCAATACTTGAAAAAAACACACTTTTCTTTAAGTGAAAAAGGACAATAAACAAGTGAAATAATCTGCCAGTCGGGTTAAACAGCTGCAGTACATTCAAAATGCAGCAGCTCGAGTCCTGACTAGAACCAGGAAGTACGACCACATTAGTCCAGTTCTCAGTTCCCAGTTCTCAACATTCTTTTTAATGTTCTGTGATAATTTATGATTTTAATGCTTTCTTGTTTTGTTCAGCACTTTGAATTGCCTTGTGTATGAATTGTGCTATATAAATAAACTTGCCTTGCCTTGCCTTGCCAGGTCTCTGCACTGGCTTCCTGTGGCTCAGAGACTAGACTTTAAAACAGCTCTGCTTGTGTACAAGTCTCTCCATGGCCTCGCACCAAAATATATTAGTGACATGTTAGTCCCATATGAACCAGCCAGGACTCTGAGGAGCACAGGGACTGGACTCCTGTTAGTGCCCAGAGTCAGGACTAAACATGGGGAGGCTGCTTTTCAGATTCATGCTGCTAAAATCTGGAACAGTCTTCCTGAAGATGTGAGACAGACAGTTCTGTTCAGCTGTGCATACAACTGAGGGATTATATATTTTTATCTTTCTTTTTAATGTTCTGTGATTATTTATGATTTTAATGCTTTCTTATTTTGTTCAGCACTTTGAATTGCCTTGTGTATGAATTGTGCTATATAAATAAACTTCCCTTGCCTTGCCTTGCCATGTGATCTTTAATTATACAAATACATAAAATTAAGATTTTTTTCTTGATATCACTATGTCTTGCTCCTTCATCATGCTAAAGTTGGAGATTTTTGACGTCTAATTATGCTAAGATACAGTGCCTTGCGAAAGTATTCGGTCCCCTTGAACCTTTCGCCACATTTCAGGCTTCAAACATAAAGATATAAAAATTAAATTTGTTGTCAAGAATCAACAACAAGTGGGACACAATCGTGAAGTGGAACGAAATTTATTGGATAATTTAAACTTTTTTAACAAATAAAAAACTGAAAAGTCGGGCGTGCAATATTTTTCGGCCCCCTTCCGCTAATACTTTGTAGCGCCACCTTTTGCTGCAATTACAGCTGCAAGTTGCTTAGGGTATGTCTCTATCAGTTTTGCACATCGAGAGACTGGAATTCTTGCACATTCTTCCTTGCAAAACAGCTCGAGCTCAGTGAGGTTGGATGGAGAGCGTTTGTGAACAGCAGTCTTCAGCTCTTTCCACAGATTCTCGATTGGATTCAGGTCTGGACTTTGACTTGGCCATTCTAACACCTGGATACGTCTATTTGTGAACCATTCCATTGTAGATTTGGCTTTATGTTTTGGATCATTGTCCTGTTGGAAAATAAATCTCCGTCCCAGTCTCAGGTCTTTTGCAGACTCCAACAGGTTTTCTTCCAGAATGGTCCTGTATTTGGCTCCATCCATCTTCCCAACAATTTTAGCCATCTTCCCTGTCCCTGCTGAAGAAAAGCAGGCCCAAACCATGATGCTGCCACCACCATGTTTGACAGTGGGGATGGTGTGTTCAGGGTGATGAGCTGTGTTGCTTTTACGCCAAACATATCGTTTTGCATTGTGGCCAAAAAGTTCGATTTTGGTTTCATCTGACCAGAGCACCTTCTTCCACATGTTTGTGTCTCCCAGGTGGCTTGTGCAAACTTTAAACGAGACTTTTTATGGATATCTTTGAGAAATGGCTTTCTTCTTGCCACTCTTCCATAAAGGCCAGATTTGTGCAGTGCACGACTGATTGTTGTCCTATGGATAGACTCTCCTACCTCAGCTGTAGTTATCTGCAGTTCATCCAGAGTGATCATGGGCCTCTTGGCTGCATCTCTGATCAGTCTTCTCCTTGTTTGAGAGGAAAATTTGGAGGGACGGCCGGGTCTTGGTAGATTTGCAGTGGTCTGATTCTCCTTCCATTTCAATATAATTGCTTGCACAGTGCTCCTTGAGAAGTTTAAACTTCTCCACAACAGTATCGATCGGACCTGCCTGGTGTGTTCCTTTGTCTTCATTGTTCTCTCTGCGCTTTAAACAGAACCCTGAGACTATCAAAGAGCAGGTGCATTTATACGGAGACTTGATTACACACAGGTGCATTCTATTTATCATCATCAGTCATTTAGGACAACATTGGATCATTCAAAGATCCTCACTGAACTTCTGGAGTGAGTTTGCTGCACTGAAAGTAAAGGGGCCGAATAATATTGCACGCCCCACTTTTCAGTTTTTTATTTGTTAAAAAAGTTTAAATTATCCAATACATTTCGTTCCACTTCACGATTGTGTCCCACTTGTTGTTGATTCATGACAAAAAATTAAAATGTTATATCTTTATGTTTGAAGCCTGAAATGTGGCGAAATGTTGAAAGGTTCAAGGGGGCCGAATACTTTCGCAAGGCACTGTAAACATAGTATGCTGCTTCTTTTTATCCTAGAGTTAGACATTTTATTTTATTTTATCTTTTTTCATTTTATTTTAGCATAGAGTTATTATTAATTTATCTTGTGCTGTTTGATCCTTTATTCATCCCACAACTTGCTCTAAAATCACTGGAGGAAAACTCAGAGACCTTCACTCTTTGTGGGAGAAACATTATACTGGCTCAACCCAAACATCCTCTGATCGCTGACTTTTAATGATGCCTTCAGGACGTCGTTTTTATGCTCAAGCGCAACAAACAGTTTTTCCAATTCTTTTGTGCCCTCTGCCATAAAACTGTTGAACTCTGGTAGAGGTGTTTGGCTTTTGGGAATTTTTGTGTTGCGCATTGTTGTGTAACCTGCAGCTGTGTGAACTGTGAGGCCTGACTCTTTGTGTGTTTGTGTAGAGTCTGATCAATACAGTTTTCTGAAATGTAATCTGAAAACTAAATTAGAAATACTTAAAAATAATCTCTAACTTTAGCATAAAAGGAAGTAGGTATAAAATCTCTAGCTTATTGCACAAATTGAACCTTTGCACTTGCACCTTGGGCAGCAGCAGGAGAGGCGGTGGAGGACAGGTGCTCTCTCTTCTTGCGGATGAACGATCGCCTCCTCCGGCCGTGGAGCCGCACCGGGTCTGTGTCCGTGTGCAGTCTGCTCACAAAGGGAGGGGCCAAGATATGCAGCACCTCTGGCTCCAGCGATACGGGGCTCCCATTACTGACAGGGCTCTCCAAGCAGCTCTGTGGGGAGATGACCAATGGGGAGTGCCACCCAAATCAACGTAAAAAATAATTCAAAGTTGCGTTCATGTACGAGAATTTTGTTTCAGTCTGAGGGCAGGTGCCAATGGGAAGGACATTAAAAGACAATGTCCAAATGCTTTCCCAGATCTGTATTTGATATTCCCAAACCTGGCAAATTATTCTTATGTCATAAAGACCTTTCTACTGGCCAACATCATGTATATGTTTTTGAATATTGTCACCACTTCTAGACACCTTTATGAGAAAATAATTTGACGAGTAGAGAGTAAAGAGTAAATAGAGATTTATCAATTTTATATAGCGCTTTTCAGGACACTCAGAGACACTTCATATGTCATTATTCTTTCGCTCCATACACGGTGGTGGTAAAATATGAATAAAATATATTATTCTCACTATTATTATTAAACCACAAAGGAGGACAGATCCACTCCCATGGACGAAGAGGCTGTCGATGAGTCCAGGACTGAGGACACATCCATTTGCAGACAGTGCCCAATATTTCCAGTATTCGTCCCTAGTGTACGATTCATTATAATTATAGATGTGACTTACCAGGTAAAGCTCTCGTAGCTTCTCACTGGAGGCTCCGACCACCACACAGGCCTCCAGCAGCGCCGCAGGCAGGTGTTCACCCATCCTTTGAAAAAAACATTTAGATTTAAAACATTTATCGGTGCACTCTACACTGGTTACTATAGCAGTAAACTTGTCATATTGATGTTTTTCATGGACGGAATTATCTGGTCTGTTCAATGTTTTCAGCAAAGCAATCATCTCTATGGACACAAGACTTTCAAATAAGTTACATAGAGCACCATAACAAATAGATTTTCTCTGTACAGTCTTATTATTGAGTGTGACAAAGAGGCCGTTCCACTTCGTTATTGTGTAGCTATAAAATCACTTCAAAATATTCATACCCATTAGTCTATCCTCATACCTTCATAACATACCATGGAATAAAAAGTATTGAAAAAAGGTAGCATGATGTGGATAATAATGCTGTAGTAAAATAAAGAGACGCTTTTTTCTGTTTCATGTTTGTATACAGAAGCATCATATGATCGTAGGAAAAAAAGGAAAATTCCACATTAAACCATAGCGCTGCTCACTAACCTCTGTTAGTTGAGGCAACTGTTGCATTCCTTTTTCTGCAGACACTTTACAAAAACAACTTGGATATTATAATGTACCTTTACCTTTACAGGAGAGCACACAGGGAGCACACAAAAAGTACAAAATAAGAAGCTGCTATATGTTTCTTAACTACAGCTGTAAATTCATCAATGTCAATTTTTCAATATATCTCTATCTATATTTATAGTGTAAATTTATATACATATAGGGCAGATTAAGTAGATAAAGTGACATTCAGTGGACGGTCTGAAATTGCAGTACTGTACATTGCACATGACTACAGTATTTACAGATGTACATGTACAGGCTCAGCAGCTCTCATTGTAGTTTGACTGTACAATGAGAAGTGGTGACGACAATAAACAGGTCTGGTTCAGTATAAATGTATCATGTATATATTCACTCATGCATTAACTTAGAGAAAGCTGGGGTACCGTATTTTTGTTTGCATAAATGATACAGGTTGTTTGTCCCAACAGGAAGAGTATTGCAAAATAAAAATGTAGAGAACAAATCTGACAACAACATACTGTTTTCATCTTATTAGAAGAGTCACCATTTGACACTTTAAGTTGATTGGCTGAGTGATGATGATTCTCTCTTTTTCACACACAAAAAAAACATATATGACAGAGGCCAGCAATACAGGCATGTGAAACTATAGTGATATAGAACTGAGAGCAAGGATGTAGTTACTTGGCTTATATCACATTCAGTTTAGTTTTAATGTTGAATACCCCGCTTTAGGTGGCTTATTCGTCTTATTTTCTTTGCACTTGTATTATCATGTGTTGAGAAATTACATTCTACTTCTACTTTCTCCCAATAACTGACACACATAAAATACAGTTAAAAGCAACCAAGCCACTGGGCAATATTTTAAATGAGTATAGTATAAACAAAGATACAAATGTCTCCTACTTATTTTCAATCAAACCTATAATTCTAAAATGAACCAGTTGAACTCGAGATAATACCCATTATGATAACCATTTCGCACATACACTACACATGTTATTCGGCCTGAACAAAGATACGGGGCCATTGAATAATGATCTTATCACCAGTAACTTACAGCCTGTTTTGTTTCATAGTGCTTGTGATTTCTAAACTGAAAGTCTTATTTGTCAGAACTGCAGTAGCGTCACGTGATGAGAGTCACATGCTGCAGGTGAGCGCGTGTTGATCATCTGAAAGAATGCATTAAATAGTCTTACCTTTACGCACGGTGCTATGGCTGCTGCTGCTGCTGCTGCTGCTGCTGTTGTTGTTGTGACGCAGCGGTGTCTCCAAAGGACTCTGACAGAGACTGGAGTCAGCTGAGTCCTTTGAGAGGCTGTGGCTGTGCGCGCGCTCCCCCGTGCTTTTTAATTGGTCTGTATCCGGGTGCGTTTGGAGCGCATCTAAACATGCGCACTCCCGGACCCTGACGCATTTGGACGTGAAGCGCGGAGAAAGGATTTGCGCACTGAGGGAGTGGGATTTCTTTGGTGTTACTTTACGCACTGTGTAGTTGAAGTACATAACTTTGTTGTTGTTTCATAAATACATTTTGTTTGTCGCAACAGAGAGAGATTTTTAAAGTAACATTTTGTGATTTTCTTTATTAGAAAATACTTTTATATACTAGGAGATGATTGTCAGAGTGAGGGCTGGGACTTTCCTTTTCACTGAAAAAGCTGATCTAAAGATGTGACAGATGCCAAAATCTGTATGAGAGTGATACAACCTACAGTTTGAGACCATGGAACTACGATTTGATTGCATAGATTTTTTGGTGGTTAAGTGCTCCAGCTTTAACTGTTTTTGTTTTCTGACAGATTTTTACTTTTACTCCATGCGTTACATAATTTTTTTTCATTTGAGTTGTCTCTGATCAAACAGGGTCAAAATCATACATTTATAAAGAGTTATTACTACAAAATAGTAAAATGAGTTTGTAACACAAACATTTTAGTGTTTTCAACTTTTTACCACTTTTGATGCATTGAGTTGCACAGTTATGTTCTGCAGTGCAAGGTTTACTCCAAGGTACTGGAGAGGAGGCTACGGCCGATGGTCGAATCTCGGATCCAGGAGGAGCAGTGTGGTTTTCGTCCCGGCTGCGGCACACTGGACCAGCTCTATACTCTCCATCGGATACTCGAGGGTTCATGGGAGTTCGCCCAACCTGTCCACATGTGCTTTGTGGATTTGGAGAAGGCGTTCGACCGTGTTCCCCGGGGTGTTCTTTGGGGGGGTTCTCCGGGAGTACGGGGTCCGGGGTCCTCTGCTGAGGGCTGTTCGGTCCCTGTATGACCGGAGCCAGAGCTGTGTTCGCATTGCCGGCAGTAAGTCAGACCTGTTCCCGGTGCATGTTGGCCTCCGCCAGGGCTGCCCTTTATCACCGGTTCTGTTCACTGTATTCATGGACAGAATTTCTAGGCGCAGCCAGGGGCTGGAGGGGGTCCGGTTTGGGGACCACAGGATTTCATCTCTGCTGTTTGCGGACGATGTTGTCCTGTTGGCTCCAACGAACCAGGACCTGCAACATGCACTGGGACGGTTTGCAGCCGAGTGTGAAGCGGCTGGGATGAGAATCAGCACCTCCAAATCCGAGGCCATGGTGCTCGACCGGAAAAAGGTGCCTTGCTCTCTTCAGGTGGGTGGAGAGGAGTATCTCGGGGTCTTGTTCACGAGTGAGGGAAGGATGGAGCGTGAGATTGACAGGTGGATCGGTGCAGCGTGCGCAGTGATGCGGTCGCTGTATCGGACCGTTGTGGTAAAGAGGGAGCAGAGCCGAAAGGCAAAGCTCTCGATTTACCGGTCAATCTTCGTTCCCTCCCTCACCTATGGTCATGAGCTTTGGGTAATGACCGAAAGAACGAGATCGCGGATACAAGCGGTCGAAATGAGCTTCCTCCGCAGAGTGGCTGGGCGCTCCCTTAGAGATAGGGTGAGGAGCTCAGTCACACGGGAGGAGCTCGGAGTAGAGCCGCTGCTACTCCACGTCGAGAGGAACCAGTTGAGGTGGCTCGGGCATCTGTTCCGGATGCCTCCTGGACGCCTCCCTGGGGAGGTGTTCCGGGCACGTCCCACCGGGAGGAGGCCCCGGGGAAGACCCAGGACACGCTGGAGGGACTATGTCTCTCAGCTGGCCTGGGAACGCCTTGGGGTCCCCCCGGACGAGCTGGAGGAAGTGTGTGTGGATAGGGAAGTCTGGGCGTCTCTGCTTAGACTGCTGCCCCCGCGACCCGGCAACGGATGAAGCGGAAGAAAACGGACGGACGGAGTGCTAATCCCAAATATCTTTCGGCCCCTTACATTTCCAAATGATTACGGTACGGTGGCAAATCGCGACTTGGCATAAAAACAGGTTTGAAGTGGTTAGCAATCTTTCTAAGTTCACTTCAGTAATGGAAGGATTTCAATACTTTTATAACCACTTCTGCACTAAAAATCAATATAAAAGACTATAGCACTTTTGCCGCCTCTGTTCCTGCAACAAGTTGGCACAAGACAATTCATTCATAAATGCAGCATTTTCCAAGCTATTCTTGTCCTTTGAGGAATTAGTTCAAATATTTCATAAATTGTTCATTCTTATCAATACAAAAAACTCTATAAAACTTCTTGCTTTCATTGACAAGTGTCCAATACATGTACAGTTGACTCAGGTCTGAGATCATGCCCCCTTTTATTTGTGTTTATTTTATATATGTTTGTATGACTTTGTCTTTTGTAAAGATATATGTAAGGTACCTGTTTTGTTTGTATTGTTTGTATTTTTAGAAATAAAGACGTTTATTTGGATAAAAAAAAAAAGGTTAACGCAAGAATGCAATGTAATGTCACCAACTGAACAGAGGATGGCGCTGAATATTCTTGAATCCTGAATTGTATAATTTAACGAATATCTGTATTATCAATTGCATCAATTTTGTGTGTGTGACACAAACGTGTAAAACATTTTGTTCAAGTTTGATATTCATGTTTGTTTAAAAAAAAAAAACTGATAAAGAATTATCCAGCTGTAGATAAAAGAACAGTCTGTAATTGTCGGGTACATATGAACATGTATACAAAATTGGTAAAATTAATAACAATAATAGCAAGATTTTTACTAAATATTAAGACCTCAATTTGAATTAGACTTCTCAATGGAAACATACAGAGTAATTATTACAGTGTAAAATGTAATACTAAAGTGCAAACACAAACATTGGCAAATATATTTAAAATAATTCCTTTCTTGAAAAAAAAAATAAGGTCACATTTACACTGCAAACAAAATACGGCAACAATATGGAGTCAGATGATCGTTTTTGCGGACACTGACAAATGAAAAAAACACATACAAACCCTGCACTTGCTTATTTCAACATTATAGTATGGAACAACTACATTTCTCTTTTACCATTTTAAATATGACACATTATAAGATTGGTTTTGAGGTAGCAATAGATCAAGTATAGTGCTTATAACAAAAGTACAACACATTTCTCAGTACCATATGAGCCACTTGATTATCTTCAGTTTAGCTTTTGAAAATGCTCGTATCTAAGCAACAGCCTCCCCAGTCTGCGTTTTGTCATGTTTTGTGAGATCCAGTTTTGAAAGTCTCTTTCTCTGTTCTTCATTTGGCTCCTGTACCTCAGACATCCGCTGCTGTGGCTGCTCCAAATCAGGGTAAATCACAAGGAAGCAGGCAGTGAGGAAGCCCAGAAAAGCGCCCCCAGAGGCCACCACAGGAATCACACGCACCGAGCCCACCGCGTCCACCACGGCTCCCAGTGCAGACGCCACCAGGATCTGACTGATGTACACCTGAACGGCACGTGTGGAGTTACAGTAGATGGTTTTACTACATGCTTTTGTAAAGACATTCCAGAGACTTTAATGATATCTCACATGCCTGGGATCAACTTGACGTGCAATATAAAAGATGTGGGACAAGCATAGTATTAAAGAAGATATTTGAAGATTCTGTTAAGGCATCTCTGATACGTTTATAGGGACACATGGAAGTGATTTAATGACACATGGCAATGTGTGTGGGTCTGGCTGGTCAGGCAAGGATGACCCAGGAAGGTAGCCCAGGTGAAAAAGGATCTATTAGGGTTAGGGTGCCATGAATTACAAACTAGACTGGATATGACCACACAAAAGTACAGTTATAAACCAACCTGGCCTTTTGAAAAACATTACATATACAGTGGGGAAAAAATGTTTTTTCCCCCCCCACTGTATATTGAGATCTGATAGCTAATTGGTAGTTTATTTTTATTTTATTTATTTATATGTGTATTGTTTATTTGGTTGGGACAGTGCCAGATTTTAGCCATGGGCTAATTTGCATCTGTCGTCCCACATTCGCACTCTCAAAGATACACTCATTCACCCTGAGCTATTGTATATGTTTTTAGCAGTAGGGTAAACCGGAGCACCAAGAGGAAACCGGAGCAGACACAGGGAAAACATGCAAACTCCACTCAGAAAGGCCCTGTTCCGACCGGGATTCGAACCCAAAACCTTCTGAAATCCAAAAACATCAGATACAATGGTAGAATGGCAGGATACCCAGCCCTACCCCTGTGTTCAAAGTTTGTAAATAAATCTGTTTTTTCTTAGTTAGCACACAACTCGTCAGAACACCGGATGTGTCATGTGCATTTTTCACCATTTCATTTTTTCTCGTTGAATTTTGACTGTTGAATTATTATGAAATTATGAAATTGATAATCAGTGACTGAAATTCACAGAAAAAAATATTCAAGATGTTAAAAACATTCAAATAGATGAATTCAGGTCCATTTAAAATTCAATTTCTGATGGAACAAATAATCCGTCTTTTTTTTTTCATTGAAAAAAAAATGTATTGAATATTTTGAAGGTGAATATGTCATTTTGAAATTTTAATCACATTGAAATTTGTAAACTGAATTTTTAGTGAGTGAAATGCAAAGATAAAAATATTCAAACATGCTTTTTCGGGGTTAAAAATTTCAAATGGAAAAATTCAAGCTAAAAAAAAAATCAAGATCTGATGACACAAAAAATCTTCCATACATAAGCACTTACTTGGCAGCTTAGAATGGCACAGTCAATTCCAAAACCTCTTCTTGTGTTGGCAGGACTGTGGTGAATGTACTGTATAAAAATAGCAGATTCTTTTATAAATAAGATGCTCTTGATATGATATGTTAGACAAATCATAATGACATAACAACAGATCTTTGCACGTACTTCTTTGATTTCGTGATACTGCCCCAGTAACGCGTAGGGACAATAGGAAATACTCATGGAGATCACGCCCATAGTACTGATCATCACCATGGCAACATACACATTGGGGAAGATGGCCATCACTGCTGTTCCTGAGGTCAAGGAATGTGAGGAAGGTTTAAGTGCTTGTTCAACAATTATTGGAAGTTTTTAATTCCACTCACTGACCTACGGAGAATGAGAGAGTCCCAACAATGTAGATGATCTTAATACTTAGGTCAAAATGATCAAGGTACTTCTGAAGGATTGCTGGAAAACAGTGGCAAGAAAAATGAGGAGTGCATGATACAACATAGAAGACAACAATAGCAAAAAACAAGGAATAAATGGAAAATTAAACTAAATAATAACTATCAGTGATGGTTACTGAAAAAAATCCATCACAATGTCAGTAATCTTTTACGTGTTCTGCATAGGGTTTGTGGTAATAGACTATACATGTAAGAGATTTAAGACAGAAAAATGTGATAATAGTGCCTCATTTTTGGCATCATAATATTAGCAGTTGGATTTTTTTTTTACCAGAACAAATTGCAGAAGTTGCAGCGTAGACAACCAACCCCCAGCAGCCCATCTGAACTCCTTTCTGGTAACTTTGCAGCTCTGTGGAATTAGTCGGAGCCTAAAAAAAAACAAAAAGTATTTAATACAAAGCAAGCGCGTCTTCATTGAAGCTGAGGTAAGTCAATATTTGATGAGAGAAGGTGAACCTCTCTTTTTTTACTTTCCTGTCTAACAAAGTTGATCTAAAGATGTGACAGAGGTAGAAGAAACTAGAGACAGAACTGTTTTAGGAGAGGGGAACTAGTTTTATTACATTGTTCCATTTCAATCTGGAATTAGAATATATTTCTTGTCAAGATTGCATGAATATACAATTAAACCCGCAGACGCATTGATTGGGTACTAATATATTTATTGCATTTGAACATATGAAATGTTCATTTGGCTTCACGAACCCTAACCACGGCAGGAATATTGAATGACGTGTGCAGGCTAGAAATGATGAGCTTGTGAAGGGCCTAGAGACCCTGGTGGCAAAGGAGGCACCATAATACTCCACTGAATAGGCGGGGATGAGGAGGAGGTGGGTTGCTGCTCAAACAGCAGCTTAAAGCTGCAGAGAACTGAGATGCTTTGTTTAAATACAGCCATTAAAGGTGTATAGGAGGATTTCATACTTCCGGGTGTATCATCAAGAATATTAGTCCCCCCAATCATTCTGGTGATACATGCTCGTAAATAAGATCAGAGAGTTTTGCTCAAAAAGTGCAGAGGGCGGTTCTTTCCTAAAATTTGGGAAATTCCTTCTATAGACCTTTAAGTAATGAGCACTGAGCATTGCTGTTGAGCTCAGGCGCAGGTGTGCAGAGAGCGAGGAGTTCAGTGTGGCAGGCATGACCTCTCTTTTGGTCTTCCAGTCTGAATTTTGAATGATCAAAGAAGAGGTGTACCCCCTGCAGCTAGTGGAGGACTATGATCCTGACCTGATTTGGAGTTCAATAGGTCACATGACCTGGAAGCTATTGAGCTAAAATGCTAATATTTACATATAAAAATTCATTAAAAATACTTAAAACACTTTAATGATCAAAGAAGAGGTGTACCCCCTGCAGCTAGTGGAGGACTATGATCCTGACCTGATTTGGAGTCAATAGGTCACATGACCTGGAAGCTATTGAGCTAAAATGCTAATATTTGCCTTTAAAAATTCATTAAAAATTCTTAAAAAAACTTAAACGACAAAAAAGAGTTGTACCCCCTGCAGCAAGTGGAGGACTATGATCCTGACCTGATTTGGAGTCAATAGGTCACATGACCTGGAAGCTATTGAGCTAAAATGCTAATATTTGCCTTTAAAAATTCATTAAAAATTCTTAAAAAAACTTAAATGACAAAAAAGAGGTGTACCCCTTGCAGCTAGTGGAGGACTATGATCCTGACCTCATTTGGAGTCAATAGGTCACATGACCTGGAAGCTATTGAGCTAAAATGCTAATATTTCCATGTAAAAATTCATTAAAAATACTTAAAAAAACTTAAATGACAAAAGAAGAGGTGTACCTCCTACAGCTAGGGGAGGACTATGATCCTAAACTGATTTGGAGTCAATAGGTCACATGACCTGGAAGCTATTGAGCTAAAATGCTAATATTTACATATAAAAATTCATTAAAAATACTTAAAACACTTTAATGATCAAAGAAGAGGTGTACCCTTTGCAGCTAGGGCAGGACTATGATCCTGACCTGGTTTGGAGTCAATAGGTCACATGACCTACAAGCTATTGAGCTAAAATGCTAATATTTTCCTTTAAAAATTCATTAAAAATACTTTAAAATACTTAAATGACTCAAAAAGAGGTGTACCCCCTACAGCTAGGGGAGAACTATGATCCTGTCCTGATTTCGAGTCAATTGATCACATGACCTGGAAGCTATTGAGCTAAAATGCTAATATTTACATATAAAAATTCATTAAAAATACTTTTAAAAAACTTAAATGACAAAAGAAGAGGTGTACCCCCTACAGCTAGGGGAGGAATATGATCCTGACTTTTAATACAGTACAGTTTTATTACATCGGTTTTAAATTTGTTGCATTGGCTTCCTGTGTGTTTCAGGATCAATTTTTAGGTTCTTTCACTGGTTTTTTTCATGTCTTCATGGTCTTGGGCCTTCTTATTACTCATAACTGCTTTTATCCAAAGAACCATCCCGGTTCTTGCAGCAGACTCCTCCATTACCAAAGCCAGGACACACACTCAAGCTGAGGCATATGTAAGTGAGTAAGTAATGTTTATTCATATAGCGCATTTATTTTACAGACCAAGGTCACCCAAAGCGCTTTACGTCCATCACTACGGCCCCGTCTCTGGAACAGTCTGCTGGAGGAGCTTGACTAGCACCCTCCTGTCCCTCACCTCCTCCACAGAGTCCAGGGGGCTGTCCCGTTCTGTGCTGCCCGGGGCCCAGCACACGGCAGCGTAGTGTATGGCAGAGCCTACCACAGAGTCATAAAAGGTCCTGAGCAGAGGCCTGCTCACTCCGAAGGACCTCAGCCTCCTCAGAAGGACCTCAGCCTCCTCAGAAGGACCGCAGCCTCCTCAGAAGGAAGAGGCGACTTTGGCCCTTCTTGTGCAGAGCGTTGGTGGTATGGGACCAGTCCAGTTTATTGTTTATGTGAACACCCAGGTACTTGAAGCTGTCCACCAGCTCAATGTCCTCCCCCTGGATGTTCAGCAGCGTGTGGGAAAGTGGTTTTATCCTGAAGTCGATTACCATCTCCTTGGTCTTACTGGTGTTAGCACAGGTACCATCTCCTTGGTCTTACTGGTGTTCAAGCACAAGTGGTTGCACTCACACCAGTCGACAAAGTCCTTGATAACCGACCCATATTCCAGTTCGTTCCCCTCAGACACACAGCCCACGATGGCGGAGTCGTCGGAGAACCTCTGCAGGTGACAGCTGTGTGTGTCGTGTGTGAAGTCTGAGGTGTAGATGGTGAAGAGAAACGGTGAGAGGACAGTGCCCTGAGGGGCCCCAGTGCTGCAGACTACCACCTCAGACTCACAGCTGCGCAGCCGCACGTACTGTGGTCGGTCTGAGAGGTAGTCGATGGTCCATACAGTGAGGTAGTTGATGGTCCATGCAGTGAGGTAGTCGATGGTCCATGCGGTGAGGTAGTTGATGGTCCATGCAGTGAGGCTACTGTCCACTCTTGCATCCTCCAACTTCCCCCGCAGCAGCGCCGGTCTGATGGTGTTGAAAGCACTGGAAAAGTCGAAGAACATGACCCTCACAGCGCTCCCTGCAGGCTCCAGGTGGGAGAGCGTCCGCTGCAGTAAGTAAATGACGGCGTCCTCTACTCCGATGTTGGGCCTGTAGGCGAACTGCAGCGGGTCCAGGGTGGGGCTGACCACAGAGCGGAGGTGGGTGAGGATGAGCCGCTCCATGGTCTTCATCAGGTGGGAGGTCAGTGGGAGGTGAGTGCGACCGGTCTGTAGTGAGCCGGTTCCTTGGCGTGCGCTGTTTTAGGAACCTGGATCACACAGGAGGTCTCCCACAGGACAGGGACCTTCTCCAGGCTGAGGCTCAGGTTGTACATGTAGCTACACCGGGCTGGGCACGTGTGAAGAGGTGGGGGAGGGAGGGGGGGAGATGGGGAGGGGGGAAGAATCAAACTGGTTGAAATATTGGTTAAATTCATCCGCCCGGTGCTGGTCCCCATCCGCTGTCCCACTGGCACTCTGCCCAAAGCCGGAGATGTTCTTTAGTCCTCTCCACATGTTGCAGGCGTTTCCCTGAGCCAGCTTCTGCTCCAGCTTTTTCCCAAAGTCCTTCTTGGCCCTCCTGATACTCCACTGGACCTTGTGCTGGATCCTCTTCTGCTCCTCAATAAACAGGTAAATGTAGAATAATATATGTTTTTTTTTTATAAAAACATACTGAAGCAATTGGCTAAAAACATTACGAGTACCAAGGTGCTCAGAGGCTGGACCTGATCTGTCTGCAGTTCTCTCCTGCGCTCCGCAAGTCTCTCCCCAGGGTCGCAAGCAGGTCTCTTATGGGGCCCAGGCACTCAAAATATTTCGAAATGGATCTCATAATAATTTGACATTATCCATCCATCAATTTTCCTCCCCTTCATCAGACATTCCAACGAGGGAGCTGTTTTGACGTGGGGGGGTAGGGCGTTCCACAGCTTTGGTCCAGCCACAGAGAAGGCCCTGTCCCCCGGGGTTTTAAGTCTGGTCTTAGGTACCACGAGCTGGAGCCGGGCCTTCGGACCTCAGCGCGCGGGGCGGGTGGTGAATTTGGATGAGGTCCGAGATGTAAGGAGGGGCCAGTCCATTCAAAGCTTTAAAAACAAACAAAATGAAGGACCTCCCCACCCACCTGGAGAGGGCAATGCACCTTTTTCCGGTCGAGCACCATGGCCTCAGATTTTGAGGTGCTGATTCTCATCCCAGCCGCTTCACACTTGGTTGCAAACCGTCCCTGTGAATGTTGCACGTCCTGGTTTGTTGAAGCCAACAGGACAACATGTTTGTAAACCGCTTTTTGACTCTGGTCTGTGAAAGGCGGTATATAAATAAAGATTACTTACTTATTTTACTTACTTAACATTGTCCGCAAACAGCAGAGATGAAATCCTGTGGTCCCCAAACCAGACCCCTTCCGGTCCCTGGCTGTGGCCTCCTAACCAGAACCCATGGCTGTGGTCTCCGAACCGGACCACATAATATTTTGAGATTAATCTCATAATATTTTGATTTTGATTAATCTTGTAATATTGTAATATTCTGACTTTACTCTCATAGCCTCTGAAAATAAAAGAGAAAATTAGATGACCCTTCAGCTCCATTGTACAAATAAGATTTCTTTTATGACAACTGAAAAAAACTACTACTTATTTTTGTTTTCAATTGAACAGATACAGTGTGATGACTGTGACAGGTGGTTCCATGATTCTTGTGTATCGTTGGAAAGCAAGGACTTGGAGGATGCAATGGAAAAGAGCTGGGCATGTGTGTTATGCCAGTGAAGAAGAGAAACAAGGGACAGGGCTATGTTCAATATATTTTCATGATGAAAAAATAAAGTCATCTCATGGTAGCCCTACTAGTGTTGCATCATGTTACTCCACTTGCTGCATAGTACAAGTACTTTTTTCATTTTCAATCTCTAAATATTTATTTAACATGTAAATATTTCCAAGTCATGTGACCTATTGACTCCAAATCAGGTCAGGATCATAGTCCTCCACTAGCTGCAGGGGGTACACCTCTTCTTTTATCATTAGTGTTTTAAGTATTTTTAATGAATTTTTATATGTAAATATTAGCATTTTAGCTCAATAGCTTCCAGGTCATGTGACCTATTGACTCCAAATCAGGTCAGGATCATAGTCCTCCACTAGCTGCAGGGGGTACACCTCTTCTTTGATCATTAAAGTGTTTTAAGTATTTTTAATGATTTTTTATATGTAAATATTAGCATTTTAGCTCAATAGCTTCCAGGTCATGTGACCTATTGACTCCAAATCAGGTCAGGATCATAGTCCTCCACTAGCTGCAGGGGGTACACCTCTTCTTTTATCATTAAAGTGTTTTAAGTATTTTTAATGAATTTTTATATGTAAATATTAGCATTTTAGCTCAATAGCTTCCAGGTCATGTGACCTATTGACTCCAAATCAGGTCAGGATCATAGTCCTCCACTAGCTGCAGGGGGTACACCTCTTCTTTTATCATTAGTGTTTTAAGTATTTTTAATGAATCTTTATATGTAAATATTAGCATTTTAGCTCAATAGCTTCCAGGTCATGTGACCTATTGACTCCAAATCAGGTCAGGATCATAGTCCTCCACTAGCTGCAGGGGGTACACCTATTTTTTGTCATTTAAGTTTTTTAAAGAATTTTTAATGAATTTTTAGAGGCAAATATTAGCATTTTAGCTCAATAGCTTCCAGGTCATGTGACCTATTGACTCCAAATCAGGTCAGGATCATAGTCCTCCACTAGCTGCAGGGGGTACACCTCTTCTTTTATCATTAAAGTGTTTTAAGTATTTTTAATGATTTTTTATATGTAAATATTAGCATATTAGCTCAATAGCTTCCAGGTCATGTGACCTATTGACTCCAAATCAGGTCAGGATCATAGTCCTCCACTAGCTGCAGGGGGTACACCTATTTTTTGTCATTTAAGTTTTTTAAAGAATTTTTAATACATTTTTAAAGGCAAATATTAGCATTTTAGCTCAATAGCTTCCAGGTCATGTGACCTATTGACTCCAAATCAGGTCAGGATCATAGTCCTCCACTAGCTGCAGGGGGTACACCTCTTCTTTTATCATTAAAGTGTTTTAAGTATTTTTAATGAATTTTTATATGTAAATATTAGCATTTTAGCTCAATCGCTTCCAGGTCATGTGACCTATTGACTCCAAATCAGGTCAGGATCATAGTCCTCCACTAGCTGCAGGGGGTACACCTCTTCTTTTATCATTAGTGTTTTAAGTATTTTTAATGAATCTTTATATGTAAATATTAGCATTTTAGCTCAATAGCTTCCAGGTCATGTGACCTATTGACTCCAAATCAGGTCAGGATCATAGTCCTCCACTAGCTGCAGGGGGTACACCTATTTTTTGTCATTTAAGTTTTTTAAAGAATTTTTAATGAATTTTTAGAGGCAAATATTAGCATTTTAGCTCAATAGCTTCCAGGTCATGTGACCTATTGACTCCAAATCAGGTCAGAATCATAGTCCTCCACTAGCTGCAGGGGGTACACCTCTTCTTTTATCATTAAAGTGTTTTAAGTATTTTTAATGATTTTTTATATGTAAATATTAGCATATTAGCTCAATAGCTTCCAGGTCATGTGACCTATTGACTCCAAATCAGGTCAGGATCATAGTCCTCCACTAGCTGCAGGGGGTACACCTATTTTTTGTCATTTAAGTTTTTTAAAGAATTTTTAATACATTTTTAAAGGCAAATATTAGCATTTTAGCTCAATAGCTTCCAGGTCATGTGACCTATTGACTCCAAATCAGGTCAGGATCATAGTCCTCCACTAGCTGCAGGGGGTACACCTCTTCTTTTATCATTAAAGTGTTTTAAGTATTTTTAATGAATTTTTATATGTAAATATTAGCATTTTAGCTCAATCGCTTCCAGGTCATGTGACCTATTGACTCCAAATCAGGTCAGGATCATAGTCCTCCACTAGCTGCAGGGGGTACACCTCTTCTTTTATCATTAGTGTTTTAAGTATTTTTAATGAATTTTTATATGTAAATATTAGCATTTTAGCTCAATAGCTTCCAGGTCATGTGACCTATTGACTCCAAATCAGGTCAGGATCATAGTCCTCCACTAGCTGCAGGGGGTACACCTCTTCTTTTATCATTAAAGTGTTTTAAGTATTTTTAATGATTTTTTATATGTAAATATTAGCATTTTAGCTCAATAGCTTCCAGGTCATGTGACCTATTGACTCCAAATCAGGTCAGGATCATAGTCCTCCACTAGCTGCAGGGGGTACACCTCTTCTTTGATCATTAAAGTGTTTTAAGTATTTTTAATGATTTTTTATATGTAAATATTAGCATTTTAGCTCAATAGCTTCCAGGTCATGTGACCTATTGACTCCAAATCAGGTCAGGATCATAGTCCTCCACTAGCTGCAGGGGGTACACCTCTTCTTTGATCATTAAAGTGTTTTAAGTATTTTTAATGATTTTTTATATGTAAATATTAGCATTTTAGCTCAATAGCTTCCAGGTCATGTGACCTATTGACTCCAAATCAGGTCAGGATCATAGTCCTCCACTAGCTGCAGGGGGTACACCTCTTCTTTTATCATTAAGTGTTTTAAGTATTTTTAATGAATTTTTATATGTAAATATTAGCATTTTAGCTCAATAGCTTCCAGGTCATGTGACCTATTGACTCCAAATCAGGTCAGGATCATAGTCCTCCACTAGCTGCAGGGGGTACACCTCTTCTTTGATCATTAAAGTGTTTTAAGTATTTTTAATGATTTTTTATATGTAAATATTAGCATTTTAGCTCAATCGCTTCCAGGTCATGTGACCTATTGACTCCAAATCAGGTCAGGATCATAGTCCTCCACTAGCTGCAGGGGGTACACCTCTTATTTTATCATTAAAATGTTGTAAGTATTTTTAATGATTTTTTATATGTAAATATTATACCAACGTACATGTCTTCGCGTGTTTACCGTACTGTGTGTAGTAGGGGTGCACTAAAATGTTGGAGCGGCTTTCGAGTCGCTCTGAACCCAGAGAGAAGGAGAGGTGTACCGAGAGGGAATGACCGTCTGTCGGATATCCAACTTCAAACTAACTTCACCGCGGTGGCAGGGGGCGCCTCCATCCTGTCAGAACATGACTAACACCAATGTAACGAACAGCAGCAATGCGGAAATAAAATATATATTTATTCATTATTTAGTTATATTGATAGGTGTATTGCTTTAAAACTGGTATTGTTTATCATAACAATATTCAGACAACAAATGGTCTTGTGTCAAACTACGTCATTAGCTACAGCTTGCAAGCTTTAAATATCAGAATCAGAATCAGAATAATTTTTATCGCCACGTAAGTAACAAAAGTCACCACTTGGAAATTGTTTTGGCAAAAAAAAAGAAATATTGGCCGCCTCTTTCGAGCGTTACCTATTTTTTTTATACAATTGTTGTGACCGACCGTAAGCTAAATAAATAAATAAAATTATGCATTTCAAAAACTAAATTCTGTGTAGAATGGATTGATAATTTGATATGTTTCCCAGACGTCATACATTTGATGCCAAGACGAGTGTTTGCTCCATTTCGCTTTTTGTTTCTTCTTTTTTTTTTTTTTTTTTTTTTTACCATATCATGCTAGTAACAACAGGCAGTTAGCTTTAACTAGCTTACAGAGCCGGTCGCACTGGAAAAAGCAGCGAAATACAAGTCGGGTGGGTTAATATTACCTGACAGAGACGTAGCCTCACAGCAGCAGTTCCAGACCCAGGTTCTTCCTCCATATGTTAGTGTAAAAGCGAAGGGAACAGGCGCTGATGGTGAACCGGGCTAAACCTTTTGACAGCAGACAGAAGCATCTGCCTCTCAATGGTTTCCACAGCAACAAAGTCAGGCCACGTGATTCTACCGTCCATTCAACACACATATCATAAATCAATGACATTGCATTGTGTATATTGCTATTATGTGTGTTTTTATGACACTAATACACATGTTTACTCATTATTAGTGAAGTTACATTTCTACAAGTGTAGTGTTTTGTGTTGTGTACTTTGAAAATGTATCCATGTCAGATACAGAAGGGCTCGTTATCATCACAGACTCTATAAATACTCAGTCCAGGGTAACATTGCCGCCACATCTTTATTTTTGCACTGATTTGTAGCATTCATTTGTTGTAATTTTAACAATGGTGAAAAATTAGCTACTAACTCTTATGTCTTAGATTTCTTTGGTATAATCGCACGCGTTAAAGTCATAACTCATTAAGATCAAAACCTTGTATTAGAAAGTTGTAAAGTTCTGAATAATACCAAAAGTAAAAATGTATGTTTGCCATATACAGTTACTAAAAGGCTCTATGTCTTTACTCCCAACACTGATAACCAGTAGATCAATAACAACAATCATTACAAAAACACAATGATATTATGTACAATATAATTATAAAAAAAAAAGAGTACTGTATTCTTGAATGCCCCCAATAAAAAAAAAAAATAAAAATTCAATGAAATACACTTGCTCTAGACATATTTTTAGGCAGTGGAAGACCATACTTCCGTCCCTTGGGCCTGTCAAATATAAAAATGAATCGTTACAAGTCCTGTCAGTAGCAGAACCAAAGATGTTTTTTCTCTCACGACGTCTTCCTCGGTGAAGCAGGACTCCATTTTTTTTTCTTCATTTAGTGATCCCTTCATTCGTGACTGGGTTAGCTGTCCTTCCTGAGGCTTTGGAACTGTGCTGCATGCTGACAATGTCACCACTTGTCACCTCTGGCTCTGGACGACGGAAGAAATGTCTCACGGTTGCCTAAAGGGAGACATAAAATGAACATTAGTCATACAAGAAATAGCTGAGTACAACCTGAGTCCTGCTTAAATTTGGCAAAATGTACCTTCATTTGAGCACATCTTAAACAAGATTTGCCAATGGGACAACCAAAATAATCTTGTTTTAAAAAGATACAAGAAATGTCTCCCTAAGAATGATAAAATAAAGCTACAGTTCTTGAAATAAGACTAAATGGTGATATTGTACTCAAATTAAGATAAAAAAAAAAAACTTGAGTCATGGATTTATAACGTCATGTTTTATCATTTTTTTTGCAGTGTAGTAGTTATATCATATCATTTGAACAATTATATAGCTATAGATATCCATATGGCTTTTTTATTACCTGAAAATTGTTTGTGACAAAGCAGTAAACCACAGGATCCATACAACTGTTCAGACTGCTGAGAGTGACTGTGAGATGGTAGACAATGGCGTGGTGATGCATGTCAGGATAGAAGTACTCAACAACCTGGTCAAAACAATATGAAATACACAAACATATTAAAACGGAATGAGGAAAACATGTGGTTGTTGTCATTTCTAATGGAATTGGCCATGGCTTGTCTCCACATTCTGTATATCTAATGGATTTCCTTACATAGAATTGACTAGAACTGCATTAAACGTATACCTATCTCAAATGGAGAGAATGAGGTTGCCAAGTTACAAGGCTGATTTGTGGAGAGTGCTTGTATTTATAAATATATGAAGTATAGAAGATATTAATGACATCTGTGGTTTGGTAGAACACTTAAGGATGGTTGCAACTCTCTCTTACCCATTAAGTTTGGTAATACTTATCGACAATAGAAAAAAACAAACCTGTCGGATGTGGAAAGGTGTGAAGCAAACTGTAAAAATAATCAGGACAGTGCTTAACAACTGGACAGCTCTTCTCCTTCTATCTCTATAAAATCAATGATAGAGATAATGTTATGTTTCAGTGAGCTTTAAAAATCATAATTTAGTTACTTTCACATTGGTTCTCCGACCTGCTCTGTTGCATGAGTCGTCTGTCAGCCAGGGCCCACATGATCCGCATGGAGAAGACCACGATGATGAGGAGCGGGAGGAAGAACTCTGTGACGGTGAGGAAGAGCAGCTTGGAGATGCAGTCTGTTTGCTGGAAGGCCGTAGAGAGGAGGGAGTAGGTCACTACCGTCGCAAACAGCCACACTGAAGCACACACACATTTGGCCACATTGGAATTCCTCCACTTCCGAGAGGCTTCGACCTAGAATACATGTATGTCAATGAGTGTTAAAGCACAGTGCAGAGCTGCTTGTAACACTGGCTGATTCAGAAAGTATTTGCTATATATATAAATACAACAATTGCCCTCAAAAGAAGCGTAGAGCCTGGTTGATGCTCCAAAATGTCCTTGTTAACTTCAAACTTCCAAGTACATTAGTGACATGTTAGTGTCATATGAACCAACTCAGACTCTGAGGAGCACGGGGGAGGGCCTCCTCCTGGTCCCCAGAGTCAGAACTAAACATGGGGAGGCTGTTTTTCAGATTCATGCTGCTAAAATCTTGTTCAGTCTTCCTGAAAATGTGAGACAGGCTTCTTCTCTGACAATGTTTAAATCCAGGTTAAAATCAGTTCTGTTTAGCTGTGCATACAACTGAGGGATTTTATATTTGTATCTTTCTTTTGAATGTACTGCCATTATTTATCAAAGTTGCCTTGCCTTGCCAACATAACAAACAAAAAAAAGTCAGAGCTGCACATAGAATACATGGCACCAGCCCCTCATTGATCCTCTTGCAGGTGGTGAGTCCACAACAATAAAACAAATATTTTAAAACAACATGAGTCCAGGCCCAAAGCAACATTCAAATCATTTTGTAGGGGTACTTATTATGAAGTAAAGTTATCAAGGAACTTGTTTCTTTCATAATTGGCATAATCATCTATAAATGTTTGGCAACAATCAAAAATAAAGCATCCTAGCAGTCAACTGGACGGCTTTTAGTTTGGAAGCAAACTACTCCACCAAATTTTTACATTTTTGATCTTTCCAGCTGTAACTTTTTCTGTTTCTTTATGTAGTTTATGTCTATGTCATTATTTTTATGATATTATCTTCTAACTTTGAAATAGGGTTGAGAAGTAGCAAAGAGCAGTTGCTGTAACCATAGCAACATACTGTTAACTTGCTACCAGTTAGCATTAGCCTTTCAACAAACTCTTTTTTACTTTGTATTTCAAGTTATATTCACAAGTTTTAGAACTTATTGAAAGTGAGTAAATTCGAATAAAAACTGATGGTAAACTCACTAACTTCCATTGATTTGAATGGGAGCAGTCAAAATGATGGCTGTGGGATGTTTCATACTTCCGTCAGATGTGGCCATTAGAGAGTCACCTGAACAATGGCCAGGTATCGATCCACACAGATGCAGGTGAGGAAGAGGATGCTGCAGTACATGTTGACAAAGTAACTGAAGATGTGGAGATAGGAGCAGGTCACACAGCGCCCCCTACTGTAGTACAGCAGGATGCGTGTGGGCAGAGAGAGGTTCACCAGCAGATCAGTCACTGCCAAGTTGATGGTGTAAATGACTGAAGTGCTCTTGGGCTTTGTACGGAAGCAAAACACGTAAAGAGCCACAGAGTTCAGGATCGTTCCGGCCTGAAACATTACAAACACACAGCATTTTAATCAATTTCAGAGGCAGAATGGTTAAACTAGAGGTGGACAATATTGGCACTTTTTAAAATAATTATATTAATGCATCGGTTTTATCTAGCACTTTTTTGGACACTCAAAGACGCTTCACATTCCTAGCTGCCCTGGGTCACACTGACAAAAGCGAGGCAACCCGAATGTGCATTCACACCAGACTCATTCTAGGCAATGTGGGTGAAGTGTCTTGCCTAAGGACACAATAACAGATCTGTACTTTGGCCGGAGCTGCCCCACTGTGGCACCTGGAGTTCCCAGAGGTCTACCATCACAGCACTGACCATGTCTTACCCTGCTTAGCTTCAGAGGTCAGTTGGAATCTGGTTTTACCATGCAGGTGTAGCCAATTTCATTTTTGTTTGATATCAAAAACAATAGTTATTAATCATATCATTTGAGGTGAAACATGCCGATACACTGCAAAAGCTACAAGTTGAAATGAGTAGAATTACAATATTTTCTTGACTTTCTTTGCGTTTATAGATATTCCTGACACCATAATTGCTATAATAATGTATCGTTCAATGAGAAATGGATGGAACAATATACTTTGGTATATTTTATTGTCTGTGCATATTCTTTGCTAAAGTGAAAGAATGTTTGCCCTTATTTAGTAGTTGCTTTTGCGTACACTTTAAAGAATAAAACATCTTTCCATCTATATAATTACAAACATTTCCACTGGTAGAAATGTAGAGAAATGCAGTGGTAAAATTGTATAATGATTGTAAAACTAACCATGAATTGCACAAATGTAGCATTACACACTATTGCACTTTTAAATGATTTATCTTTTGTCATTTGTAGGACAGATTTTAGTCAGCTCATTGATCCAAGTCCTCATATTTTACATTTAAAATAATATATTTCTCTATCATCAGTTGTTTGGCCCACCTCTAGTTACTAATAATCAGCATTTACCAAAAATATGATGGAGTTAATAGCCATCAGTGCGATCCACAGGCCATAGTAGTCGTTGTAGAGGCCCTCGTCTAAGTGTGCCAGTGTCTGGAGACAGGCCCCTCTGTCACTCTGGTTTGTCCCGGGGCTGATGGGTAATGTAGTCCTGTTCGCAATCCAGGAGTGATTGCTGCTCGATGTCATCCTTACTCATTGTGATCACATTGATGGAAAAGACAGTAGAAAAGCTGAAAAACAAAACACAGAATTTATGATAATGTAAAAGCAAAGTAAAGCAAAGCATGTATAGTCTGGCTGTATTTAGAAATAATGAATATCTATTTGAGGTCATGCAGATATTGGTTGGAACCCCAGTTTTGTATGTAAATAAATGTGCATTGATTTGACCATTACTGTAAAATATTTTCCTATAACCTCACAATAGTCTGCCAATAACATGCAGCTTGTAAAGCCTGTATGACATGTTGAACTAGAAAATGGACAAAAAAATAATTAAGGCTATGTTTCTCAGATTTGAAACGTTTTGGTCCAGTTAATCCTGTTACCACCTAGTTGTTGATATGGCATAGATAGAAGTACTGTTAACATGACAAGTAAAAAGGGTCACTCACTTCGACAAGACAAGGTAAGTTATTTGTATAGCACAGTTCATAGCTGAGTACAGGATAGAGGATAATTACAATACTTTATAATGCAGGTGTATGCACCACTAAACAGAAGTGTTTTTCACCTGCTTTGGAACATTGTCAGAGTAGAAGCCTGTCACACATATTCTGTTCCGGACTGTTCCAGATTTTAGCTGCACAATAGTGTCAAAGACGTTTAATATGAGGACATAGGTGCAAGGATTTCATCTTGGACCTCAACATTAATTCCTCTCAAACTGTCTCTTGAGTGATGTTAGCTACTACTATTGCTCCGGTCCCAACATCAAAAGTAATCACTTTATTAATACGACCCATTCATAAGAAAAATATGGAACTCAATTTTGGGATCCAATCTGTAGACCACGAAAAATGGAAATATTGCAGTATGTAATTTAACACATGAAACTGTTTCCTGGCTCTCAAAAGAGCTCTCAAATCACAAGTTTTCATATCATGCGTTTCATTTTTGGCTTCTATCACTTAAAAAAAAAAAAAACATATATAATTTATTTATTTTAAGCTTTTGCCTTTTCAAAATTCTGTAATTTCAAAACATAAGAAGGCAACAATTATAATGCAAAGAAAAAAATTACAATAAAAGAATAATTTAAAAAACACACTGTTACATCTTTACACCAGCTTTTTCAGACAGAAAAGTGAAATAGAGAGGACCACCTTCACCCAGCCAGTCAGATCTCAACCAAAAGTGTCAAATAGTGACTCAGGGGGCTCTTTAATACAATTATACAAGATGTTTCATTATAAGAACAAAACAACATGTTGTGAATCTTCAAAAAGAAGTTCCCCCAGCATTATGATAATTACAACGACTCGTTCTGGTCAGACGTGTTGATAATATTGTTACGTCTGGTATTTGCTGCGCTCTCTGAAGTCATTTTGAATTAACTGTGTGTTGTGGTCTGCTCTGAGCCTGCTGTCATCTTTGCAATATTGTTCTGTGTTCTAGCAGTCTCCAAAGGCTTCTCCAACAGCAGCAAAACACTCCACTGATGAAAAATACCATCTCCTTCAACTAATGACAGCGAATAAGATGAATAACGGGGCTGCAAACTGTTTCACATTAGGATTACATGAGTCCTGATTTTGTTCTGCTGATACAAAGCCAGTTTATCAACATTAGCCGCTAACGAGTGACGTGCAGAGGGTCACGAGGGGAACTTTGAACTAATTATTGTGTTGCAAACCACAGAGGCTGGTGATTGGTTCTTCTGCTTATGTAAATGTGTGTACTCCATAATTAAATGACTTCATAAATTCCCAGAAAGCACCAGCGCTGATTGTGCATTCGATTTGATTACAGTTTAATGCATGAGATGATGTAGGAGCTTTTTTTAATGAATGTAGTGTGGAAGATTTTCATTCATTAAAGCTGGGGTACCTATATTTTTCCATCGATAACATATGTTTGAGTCTTGTAAAAGTAAGATGTTTCAGACCACGACATGCTGTCTTTAGCCTATTGTGATCTTTTGGATACTGGCAAGAAAAAGGCATGACATAATGTGCTGTAAGTGTGAAAAAAGTGTCTGTTAATGTGTTCGGTACATAAGTCATCAATAAAAACAAAAGCAATTCTGTATTAAAAAAATGTTTCAGAAGAAAGGGTTAGGCTTAAGTTTGTCCCCTTATTTTTGTCAAACCCCATTACCAAAATTAAAAACAATATTATATGAGACATTACTTTTGAAATTAACCCATTAGGTGCAAGAGGATTTTTCCTAAGAGGCTAAATTTTTACATCTTAATTTATGAATAACTTAAAAGTGAGAAGAGATAGAGGATTTATGTAAATTATAAGAATGGCCCGATGTTTATGTAGGAGTTAAATGTCATGTCATTTTATACCCCTTTATTAATCTATTTCTGGGTCGGGGGGGGGTTAGTCCACGGGATGATGGCTTCTCCGTGATCGAAGACATGCTCTTGGTCTTTCATTGGGAGCTTCAGGCAATGTGGGGTTAAGTGTCTTGCCCAGGGACACATCGACAGTAAACATCAGGGGGAGTGTGGAGCAGATTACATGGGTTGTGGTGAGCTCAAAACCCACAACCATTACTGTAGGTCCAAAGACCAGTGCTCTACCAGCTGAGCTACTGTCGCCCCTACTGTCGAAATTAAATGTAATAATCTAATTTGCATATTATGACTTCTTATAGTGGTGGCAATTGTGGGTTTTCATGAAATATCTTTTTTATTTTTTTTACTGACAGACACACATCACTAGGACATGAACACACAAACAAAACCCACATTGTACTAAACACAAGGGTCCGGAGATAAAGTAAAACAGAGAAAATCATTGTGTGACAGGGAGTTTAAATTAATTTTGACACTCTGCAATATTATCGACTTAAGTCAACTGTAGTGCCCAGAGGGTTAAAGTATTTACTATAATATTCCAAGTATATACACAGCATATTACAACCATAAACTCACACTGCATAACTTAAATTCTCCAATATACATTTAGAAACACTACGTATAATATATGTGTGTTTAGTTTTACACACATAACTGCTTTTTGTTTATAAATTACAGACTTTTCTACTTTACTCTTGTGCTTTATATTTTGCTGAGGCTTTGATCCTGAAAATTTCAAAGCGTAACAGGATAAATACATATGACAGTGCTCTCATTTGCTTTCTAAATAACAGTATCTTACATAAAGAAATTTTTGGCCACTAAAAGCTGCTTTTCATTTGCAGTGTTCATTCACTCAAATGGTGGTGGTCATAGCTGCCCTGGGGTAGACTGAAGTAAGCAAGGCTGTTTTTCATAACAGTTCTGTGCTTTGCAACCTCAGCCTCAAGTTTGCTGTTCTGTATCTTTGGCTTGTGACAAATAAAAGTATTAATTCTTAGACCATAATGTGTGTTTTTGTTTGTCTCCATATGTGTCTGAGTTTAATTTAAAAAAGTGTATTAGCAGTACACCAAGCACATGCATAACTAAAACACTCACCTTTGGAAGTATATTCAGGGCTCCTGTTGGCATCTCCAAGTTTATCCCCTCTTCCACACTTAAATCTTCTAGTAAATCCTTTCAAAATCACTTAAATGAGCATCGTTTTTGTGATACTGGGTCTTTTGGGTGATGTCCATATGAGTCGGCCTCTCCATTCTGCTGTCAGACGCTCCTCTCCCTCTCGCTCTAAATCAGAGAGTTTGTTTTCACACAGGAAGTCTTATGTCAGGATGCGGCTCTTTCTGTCATGAACGATCCAGTCTTTCCTGTTCAACCCTTGACTTTTTCATGCATTTTTCTGTAAAAGTGTGACATCCATATTTCTTACATTACGGCTGTTTTATTTGGACCATAAGACTCACCTGTATTACTCTTATTATGAAGGTTCGTTCATTTTGGTGTCCTATACAGTAGGTCTTGCCCAAAGCCTCCTCCTGTTGGACATTCCCGGAACACCAACTGAAGTATTTTATCTCTATTTTCAATGCACTGTGGTTATTTATCATTTTAATCTCTTGTCTGATTCTAATGTTTTAAAGGTTTTGATTGCCTTCTCCACCGACTCGTTGTGTCCTTAGGCAAGACACTTAACCCCACTTTGCCTGAAGCCCCCACTGAAAGATCAAGGCTATGCTCTCACTGACAGAGCAGCCATCATCCACCTGCAGGAGGATATTGTGTATTGGGTGCGGCTCACTGTCACCCCCCCCCCCCCCCCCCCCCCCCCGACCAAGAAATGGTTGAGGGGAAGAAGATGGATGGATGGAATTACTTGTGTGATTTTATTATTTGAATTACCTTTTGTTTTTGATGTTGATTTTGGTGTTTTTTTCATGTGATTGATTGGACATCTCCCTAGTAGATGCTCGAACCACAACAGTCAGTCTCTTCTCGACATGGAAAAGCAGTGGCTCTACTCAGAGCTCCTCCTGTACGAATAATGAAGTTGCTAAGTATGTTCTTAAGCAGGGGTCTCCAACCTTTTCCTCCAGGAGCGCTACCACTGTATATCTGAACAAAATTATGAGCTATTCCTTTAATCAGGTAAAAGAAAGCCGACATATTGAAGTTAGCAAGGCCTTAAAACTAAATGTATTTTATTATACAAGCAGCTTTAGTCTTTATGACATTACATTCATGCATCTTTTGAGCCAAAATTTTAGCCATGTCTGACTTGAATTTTTGGGCTTTTTGCAGTCTCAGACAATCTCTTTGCAGGCAATAGTTACTCAGTCTCTGGGGGACTGAGTAGATCTAGTTTCGAAAGTAAGGCCCCAGTTTGTTCCTCTAACTTCATCTATCTCACAGTACGAGACAGGTGCGTCTGCTGCTTCCTGTCCGGTGCTCACCATCACTCAGAGCCTGTCAGAGTTTCTGGAAAAGTCTGGAATAAGGGATGTAACATAGATGATCATCAGCCTGGTGCTATGGATGTGCTGGGAGAGAGGAGCAGGTATGGGACAGCCTGTGTTGCAGTATATAAATTATGAAGGTCCCTTATACAGTATGTGCAGGTGGGGAAAACTGGAAAAGGAAGTATTGTTAAGCCTAGCGTACATCGGACTGGCAACTGATTATATCCGTCGCCTATGAGTTGCTGCACCGCACACATCGACAATGTGGCGAAAACAGGCAACTCCTAGTAGCAGGCCAGTCTCGGGAATAACAGCGCGTACATCGACAGCAACTGGCCGTCAACTACAGTGTGTTTTCTGGCATAAACTGTAGAGGGCAAGGGTCCCCAACTGCTGGACCAGGGTCCAGCTAGGCCTGGACCTCAAGAGCATTTTCTCAAAACCTCTGTGCTTTTTTTGTTTAAAAGTACATAATTACATGTATAATTAAAATTGTCACCAAAAACGAATTTGGAGTGCCAAAATGTTGCAAGCTCAAGCCAGAAAAACCAACGTAACCATGACAAAGTTTGCATGGATGGCAAATGGCTATGGCAACTTTCACCATTGGCAACCATACCTATGGGAACAATCACCATCACAAATGTTATCATGACAACGAACAGACAACCTGGTTAATCTTGTTTTAATACAAATTTCTTATGTTTGGGGATAGTTGCCATAGTGATGGTTGTCAGGGTAGTTTTCATAGTGATTGTCAGCATAATAATAGTCATCATGGCAATCGTTGCTATGGCAACAGTGACCATGGCAACCGTTGCTATGGAAACAGTGACCATGTCAACCGTTGCTATGGAAACAGTGACCATGGCAACCGTTGCTATGGAAACAGTGACCATGGCAACCGTTGCTATGGAAACAGTGACCATGGCAACCGTTGCTATGACAACAGTTTCCATGGCAACCAATGCAATGACTACAGTCTCCATGGCAACCGTTGCTATGACTACAGTGTCCATGGCAACCGTTGCTATGGAAACAGTGACCATGGCAACCGTTGCTATGACAAGTGTCCATGGCAACCGTTGCTATGGAAACAGTGACCATGGCAAACATTGCTATGCAAACAGTGGCCATGGCAACCGTTGCTATGGCAATTGCCAACATAGCAACTGTTGCTATGGCAATAGTAACCATGGCTATGACAATTTTTATAGCAACTGTTACCCTAGTAACAATCACTATATGGCAACTGTTACCATCGCAACTATTACCATGGCAACAAACCATCTGGTGAATCTTGTATTAATGTAAATTTCTTGCAACCACTTTTTTTTCTGGAGTTTGTTTCCAGTTGTTGGCAACCGTTCCCACAGAAACAGTGACCATGGCAACCATTGCTATGGAAACAGTGACCATGGCAACCGTTGCTATGGAAACAGTGACCATGACAACTGTTGCTATAGAATCAGTGACCATGGCAACTGTTGCTATGGAAACAGTGACCATGGCAACCATTGTTATGAAAACAGTGACCATGGCAACCGTTGCTATGGCAATAGTAACCATGGCTATGACAATTTCTATAGCAACTGTTACCCTAGTAACCATCACTATGGCAACTGTTACTATCAAAACTATTACCATGGCAACAAACCATCTGGTGAATCTTGTATTAATGTGAATTTCTTGCAACCACATTATTTAGGGAGTTTGTTTCCAGTTGTTATAGTGATGGTTGTTAGGGTAGTTGCTATGGTAAAGTAGTGATGGTGAAGGTTGCCATAGTGATTGTTGCTAGGTCAATGGTCTCCATGGCAACATTCGCCGTGGCAATTCACCATGGCAACCATTATTTTAGTGATCGTAGTAGCCCTGCTAACCATCACTACTACTGTTACCATGGATACCATCACAATGGGAACAAACATCATGGTGACTGTTACTATGACTATCACAAGATTTGTAATATAGTGAGAGTCGATCACTTGCCAATTTTGTTGGGGAACCGTAATTTAGGATGTTTTCTAATCACTGTGGCGGGTCAATTTTACATTTTCTGGTCAGAAATGTATTAAAATCAAATATTCAACGTAATAAATTTGATTGAAAAAACCAATACCTTTGGTCATGTTACTATAGGCACATTTTCTTACGTTGAGCAGATTTGATTTGTCATGAAACAATAGCCCCGTTTCCCCCAGCGCAACTTGGCCCTACTCTACTCCACTCCGATAGAGAGCGTTTCCACCGACCCTAACTGGGCTTGGCCCTGGTTCTGTCCTGGCCGAGCTGGTACTATAGTGTTCTAACAGACAGAGATTGGCTGGAGCGCTTATAAGTAAAAAGTTTGACATGTTTAACTAATCTAGATATAGACAGTAGAAACATATTCTTGCCACTTGAACTTGAACATGAAGATCTTTCAAAAGAAACTTATATGAACCTATACAAAAAAGTAATTTTTTACAATTACACTAAACACAGGTATGTGTTGGAATGGCCCAGGCAAAGTCCAGACCGGGATCCAATTGAGAATCTATAGAGACATTTAACAACTGCTGTTCAAAATAATATTGTGAGGAATAATGCAAAAAATAATGGGCAAAATTCTCTCTATGTAAATGTTTTGCTGTGTGGCTTCAGATCAAGTCTATGGTCTGACGAGTGCTTTATTCAAAGGTTTCTTTATTATTTTGTCAGTTTTTCATTGTTTAACTCAGGTGGAAGCAGCCTGAAGTTCTGTGTCAGAGAGATGTAGAGCAGACTGCAGACCTGTCATCACACTCGAGTTTATATTATCTGGCTACACATTAGACAGTTTTATACAAACTAGGGAGGTCACCATTTCAATTGTTGGGAGTAATAATCCATCCATCCATCCATCCATCCATTTTCTACCCTTTAATCCATTTCTGGGTCAGGGGGGTGGCAGTCAGAGATGCCACCCAAGTCTCATAGCACCAGCCCCTCACTGACCCTCTGCAGGTGGTGAGTCCACAGGAGGACGGCTGCTCTCTGAGTGTGAGCATAGCCTTGATCTTTCAGTGGGGGCTTTGGGCAAAGTGGGGTTAAGTGTCTTGCCCAAGGACACAACGACAGCAGTCATCAGTGGGAGTCGGTGGAGAAGGTGTAGAGGTGGGAGGTGGGAGTAATAATCACAAAAAAAAAAAAAAGGGTTAGGGTAAGGGCCAACTGTGTGCGATTATTTATGAAACACAATAGTTCCTTTGACTAAAACAACATTATTTCTTTTATAGAAAACATTAAAGCAGTGGCCTTCTGAATTGACCCCTTATTTATTTATTCAATGATTCGTTATAATCTGAACCATGACCCGAGTGGCTTTTACAAAAATAAACTTTGATTCAACATACAAATAAAACCATTGACATTTCACAGAACAATCAAACCATGTCGAACCCTGAGAAGTTCAAAAACATTACCACATAAATGAAACCCTCTGCAACACTTACAACATATATGTAAACTTTTTTAAACCTCTTGAAAAAACTGCCTTTATATCAAAACAGCCTGTACCGTATATGTCCACTGCACTAGGACGGTAAAACTAGTCGGTCTACCTGATAAAGTGATAACGTTTTTTTTATAGGGTGGTTTTTTATGATTTTAATGCCTCGTGCGATTGTTTCCATCTTGTTTTGTTGCGCTATACAAATATACAATGTTTGAAAATTTCCTGTCTTTTTGCACACCCTGAGTTATCTCATTGAAGCCAAATCTAACATGTACATTTGTCCATTTTTAAGATCAAAAATGTCTACTCATATCTTCGAGCATTGAAGTGAAATGTTGCCCCACAAAACTATAAACTGCAAATACGGTTATATTTTTCAGACCACGTTATAATTAAAAACCATATTCAAAAAGCTATCATTTTTTAGTTGTAAATCATTCATCAGTGCAAAGAAGCTTTAGATATGAATTGAAGAGCAAGATTTTTTCTTACTGAGAAAAATCAAATTTAAAGCTGAAGTACCAAAACGAGACAAAACGTTTTCTGTCCACAATCACAGCTTGTTCAGACGGGGAAGTGTAGCCTAAAGCGTAATCTATTGAGGAGGATCCAATAGGATGAAGACAGCACTATCTGGGATAAGGCAAATCATTTTTTTGTTTATTCTCACATAAAATAAGTGTCTTTGTCTTGTATTATCTTTTGCAAACTTGTAAATGGATCCTGTAAATGGATCTCATGCGAAAATGAGAGATGAGCCAAAATGTTTGGAGAACTAAAAAATCCCAATTAATGTTTAGTTCCACCATTTTCAGTTTGAAATGTAACGTTCCCAGGAATAAGGCTGGGCACTTCATACCGTTTGTTTGTCCAGACAGAAGGAGTCTTGTAAAAGTAACATATTGAGAACAAATCAGAATCTGGTGTGTGCGTAAATGGTTGGTGGTGGTCGGAGGGGCTGATGGCACATACAGCCATCGCTTTTGTCAGTGTGCCCCGGGGCAGCTGGGGCTACATAAGTCGTTTATCACCACTGTGTATGAGGTGAAAGAATAATGCCGCGCGAAACGTCTTTGAGTGTCCAAACAAGCGCTATTCAAAACTGATGCCTTAAATCAGAACACATGCTGTCTTTACCGAATTAGAAAACATTATTGTATCTTTTGCGTACCAAGGACGGTCCGCTCTTTTCCACTTTTCGGTCTGAAAAAGCTGAACATACATGCATATGAAAACTAGTGATAGAGACAAACTGTTCGGGAGAGAGGAACTAGTTAAAAAAGTTTGTATTCCACAGCTGCTGTTTTCACTGGCACAGACTTGTTGGTGTTGGTCTGAGTGAGTTTGGAGTTTGTGCTCTGGCTCAGTCTGTGTCCTGCCTGTAGTGAAGCACGTAGTAGTCGTGGACGTACATCAGGACGGCGAAGGGCTGTCCGATGATCAGGGACATCCACACCGCAGCATTACCATAGTTACCGCGCAGGAAGTGGCCCACAAACCAAGCCAGGGGAAGCTGAAAGAGATGTAAAACAGGTCACTATTTTTCATGATTGACCTCAATGACCAACAACTTTACTTAATGACTGTCCATTCTTGACCAATGTGCATTTTTCTTGCCTTTTGTCCATATGATCATTATTCAAATGTACACACATTTCACACATCAATGCTTTAAATAAGAAATATCACACATTCATGATGATATTTACTTTGTCATTCATGATCATTAAACACAACAAATATGTGACAAATAAGCTAGAAATCAATTAGTAAGTACAGTAATCTTTCTATAAATAGCATAGGAGTAGGGTTTTATTTCACATTCTTACCTGAGCCATCATACCCATAAAGGCCCAAAGTCGGAACATCCTCAAAGGGATGCTGACCAGGTACTGAGGAGAGAGGAGGAGAACAGCTCACTTCTGATCAAATAAAAAGATCTAAGTTCAAGAGGATCATGTTATTTTCTAACCTCGTGGAAGAAAGCTGACAAGAAGAAAACTGCAGACTGGCTGACTATTTTACTGAAGCCTTTTCTCAGTAAGGGTTTGTAGAAATGTCTAAGAGAATGGAATAGAGATTAGTTTTATAATCACATAAGATTTCACACCATGTATCGAAAAATAGCTGCACCAAGGAACTACTTACAGAAAATGGCCAATACGTGTATGTTTATATACATTATAGTTCAACGGATTAGTCTAAAATAACAATAAAATATGCATAATAATTTTACAAAAACATATTTTAAGATTTGTATTTAATGTTACAAAAATATTATTATATCCTTTTTAGGTCCATATTCTTAGGTAACTGCTAGATTAACTTTTACCTTGCAACCCCAATATATGCCTTTGTGCACAGAAAAAGACATTTGAATTTGATAATGTATAATGGTTTGGCTCATTCTCAGTGGTGGAGCTGTATATACAAGACTCACCGTAAGCACCACTTATGAACCGGAATGTTCCAATTCTGCCAGAAATAAGTCACTGTCTCGGAGTTCCTGAAAAAGAATAAGTATTGGAATCATTAGTATGGATAGAAATAAAGTACTGTTATGTAAAATATATACAATGATTGTGGCTGAAAGTCATACATATAATTCTGCCATGTATACAATTTTTAGTTTATTTCAATTTTAGACTACAAACTAACTGACTTTTCTAAGCCTGTTTGCAGTCTTGAAATATCAACATGCACGGTCACAATCGAGTCCTTCCACCGACAGAAAAGTTAAAATATGGATGTGCAGTGGTCCTTTGTTTATGGGGGATATGTTCTACTCATTTCAAGTCAATTTATTTTCGAATAGCGCTAAATCACAGTAGATGTCGGAGGACTTTACAAAGCTGTCAAGTTGCCAACAAAGATCAAATGCATGGATCAGAAAAACGCATTTTTGAACATGAATAGATGTCCATAAATGTTGCTGAATATGGAGTGTCCTGGATCACCACCGCTGTCCTTAGACCCTCCTGCATCGGCAATGAACAACTCCAAAAAAAAAAAATATACGCTGGGAACCTCAGGGATGCGTAGGGCTAATACATTTGAAGGCTGTATATGTTTTAAACCCCCCTTGTACACTTTTCCATTGCAGACATGCTCCAGAGCGTTCACAAACAACACTGATGCCTACCACCAGTCCTTGTAAAACTGCCTGTCGCCGAAGCACAGCAGCTCGGCACTGAAGTTCAAGGATGAGTGGAAGAACCAGTAGAAAAACATGAGCCACAGCAAGTGATTTGGCACCTACAAAAGACAGACGCAGGGGGGAGAAGGCAACATGAAGTAAAGAAGAGCAGTTTAAAGCTATTCTGATAAACAAGAACTATGATGTACCCCTGTTTCATGCATAAGACCAGGATTATGAAGTAGTTATATACTGTATATATTGTATGTGGTGGGGTTGTGGATAAATATGTATTGTTGAATATATCCTGTGAAAGATATCTGTGCTGTATTTATTCTAACGCTTTCAAACCACACAGAGTTTGACAGCGTACTAAAATCCATCCTATTAGTGGTGGGTCTCTAAAAAGTTTGGTTTGCTTTTCACATGCTTATATTTTTTCACTCTGTCACATCTTAAGAGCACCTTTCTCAGACAAAACATTTGAAAATTACTAATCCATTTATTCCTCCAGGGGCTACTGTTTGTGTGGTTGTCTTTACACTGTCAATAGTTATTTTGGAGTTATTTTGTCCTGTAAAATAGTGTTGCACAGGTTTGGAAATATTGATTGACTGTCAGAGAGAAAGTGGGGCACCTGGAGGAAATCTAGGGACACAGGGAGAACATGCAAACTCCAGTCTGCCAAACACTCACGGCATTCTATCCTCAAAGGTACTGTGCTCGATGAACTCCTCTTTAACACCTGATTGACCTATTCATTGCATTATGTGTTCTTTTTGTGTTTACTGTAATTTTGTATTTTTATTTGATATTTGTTTAACTTGTTTGTGAGAGACTATGTAGCTACCATAGGCTATATTAAATGAGTGGACTGACTTAGTGCTGACATCACCCTTAGTGAACCATTTTCCATATATGGATTTTAAACTTTGCACCGTAAAGACATGTTGCTAAGATGGTTGCTAAGGCAAGCTGGGGTTTCTCCCACAAATTCAGGTCTCTGATTGGTCAATCCTGAACGGCTCATATCTCTATGAAATCTCTATAAAATAATGGTTTCTACTATGATTGTGTAAGCACAAAATGGTGAGTGTGACACAAACGATCACTGAGCTAGAGGAGATTACTGTTCAAAGTAAGTCAATAGGAGCCAAAGCGAGTTGGTGAAAAAACTTTGTCAATATGCACCTCCCGATTGGGCTTCATAGTTAAGCTAGTGGGTAAGCATCTATGTCCTGTCTATATACAGTATATGGTATGAACTGCCTGGGGATAAATAAAGTTTTTTAAATCTAAATCTGATAATCTCCAAGAATGGGATGCTACCCGGTGGATGTGTTTGTCTCCATGATAAAACTCACTGCCAGTCGAAGAAGCCTCTCCATCATTCTGGATAGGTCCATATCCTAGAATTCAAATTGTGTTGATATCAGTGCACAGGCATTTGAAACAATATTGCACATTTTCTTATACCTCTAGTGGTTTCATGGAGCTTTGTATTATAGGAACCATCCACTGTGAGAAAACATCATCAACATCAAAAACATGTTACTGTATAGTGCTTCCCTATTGTGTCGACTTACCTGTTGAGTGAGAGCGACTAAGAGCTGCGTAAAGAAGAGCTGTAACAAAAGCAGAGCAAACACGTGCAGAATTATAAAATGTGTAAATATCTTGCTGATGGTAAAATTAATAGTAGCAGTAATTACCATTTCGATCAGTCTCCTCATAAGAAAACCCATCCTGATTTTGGGAGATCGTGGGAAGTTGAGCTCATAGCACAGAGTTGGAGCAAATACAAAGTAGTACAAATCTAGAATAATGAATTAAACATTAAAGGCACCTGCTTGAGACTTTAATATCATGTAATCTGCTTTATTTGACCTTTGATGGTGAGATTTCCAGGGTAACACACTTTATAATGTTCTCCGGCGAGTCCTGTAGGGCCTTTAAGAATAGGTCAAGCTCAGTGGTGGATTGATACAAAAGTAAGTACAAAAGTACAAAATGTGGGCAATGTATTTTAATGTACAATATTTTATAGTCGATATTATCTCTTTTACTTCACTACATTTCAGAGCAGTTATGTGTACTACAAAAAAAAAGTACTTTTCAAAATGGTTTAGAGTCCAAAGCCCATACATCAGTAATTGAAAAATCATAAGAATTAAAGTGTTTTGAACTGCTAATGTTATCTTAAAGCTGAGGTACCTAACATAAAATATAATAATATAAAATACATGTGAGTAGCATGGGTCTAAAACAGTTTGGTTCTATGACACATGCATGTATTTTTGGCCACTCTCACTCATCTAATCCGTTCTCAGCCCAAAGCGTCAAGTGACTCACAGGGCTTTTTCTTACAATGATGCAGAAGATACTATGTTTTCTAATAACATGAATACAGCATGTTCATCTCTTATACAAGCAAGTTATTTAAAAAAGAGAAAAGTTAGATGTCCGAGCTTTAAAGTGCACAATAGCACATAACTAAAAACAGATTTCAACGTCAGTTACGGAGTTTCCTTCTCAAACAAGCACCGGGTTCGCTCATTCATCACAATGAATTATCACAGTGTTTGATCATAGGGAAATGAGAGTTATTATTTGACATATCCAGTAAGTGAGGCAAATGAAAAAAACATCAACAATGCAACAAAAGAGGAGCTAATGGGAAACAGCAGAGGGGGTGCCAGCAGAACCACTACACAGAACGACATGCTGATTCAAACAGTAATCCTGGAAATGTCTACTTGTACTCAGTAATTTAGTTGTTACTCACAAAATAATTTACCAGTTGAGCTGACTTTGGGTTTATATTTGATTTTAAACATTCCAGTCTTGTGCCTTTTTGCACTTATTTTTGCAACTCTCCTCGACGTGCTGCTGTTTGTCTGAGTGGTGATGTTAACGGCGAACTCTAGATCAACACTTACAGAAATCTCAACATGTTTTTTTATTGTTTACCTTTAATAGAGAAGCATTAACACAACTGAGTATTTTCAGAACAGCTGAAGCTAGGAACACTGTCTTCACTATGTTCTGAAAATTCTCAGTTTAACTTATTTTTATGTTTTCATGAGATAAGATAAGATAGACTTTATTGATCTCACACAGGAGAAATGTACATGTCACATCTGGCATGGATAGAATCACTCAAGATTGTGCAAAAGAAAGAAATGTGCAAACATGTTAAATGCAGGATATACAATGTACATTAAAAAGTGGCTATTCAAAAGTGACAATCAAGAAACAGTGTCGATAGTAGTGCAGGTTTTTCAGTCCTAGTGCAAGTGACTTAAAGTGACTTATTGTAGAGTCTGGGATACATCTCAGTGCAAGTGTGATTGATTATTAAACTCACAATTTTTACATTATAACCTACCATAATCTTCCTGATAGTATGCATATATTGATACACATTGTCCATATTGATTGCGTAATCAGCTTTCTTACACTTTAACTGCAGTACCTACTTTAAGCCTTGAGATGTCACTACAGCAGCGTGAGTGTGTAGGTGTGAGAGAGGCTTACAGGAGAGCGATCTGGACAGTTTCTTGGCTTTGGCGCTGCTCAAATCCCTGCACCACATGTTGACATCTCTATAGGAATACAGCTTCAGGAAAAGGATCGTATACAAGCCCAGAGCAAACGCCCCGCCCACTGAAAACAGAGAGAAATGCATGTCAAATAAAAGTACAATTCCTTTCTTTGCGATCATTATTTGCAGACTAGGAAGGCCTGGACATTTGGTGATCAATGGAATCAATAGTGATCAGTGGAGCAAAGTGTGTTTTTGTCTTTCCCTCAGTTGTCTGATCAAAACATTATTAAACTGATTCCAATTCTTAGGTTACGAGTGAGTGACAGGTGGCTTTATCATGCCCTGTGATGTGTTAATGTTCCAAAAGTAGCAGATTACTTTCTTTAAATTAAACACAACATCTTCATACTATAAACTTACATACTATATATTAACATTTGAAATATTCATATTTTTCCAAAACAATGTCATAAAAAAATGCTGTCACCGTTTGTTACTAAGATTTTGCATGTTTTTACCCATTTTGACCATTTTTATGGGATAATGTCTGTTTAAAAAGTCACATTTCCTTCACAGTGAAAATAGGGAGTTTCTTTTGAATAAAGTACATATGAAGCAATGACCTCATACACACTTCCCCATACTTTTCATAAAACCTGAAAAGTTCTAACCTCTAGTACATGCCAGAGTTGAAAAAAAAGATTCAGTGCAGACGTGTGCACATAAATGTTTGGATTAATTCTCAAAAAATTCTAAAAGTTCATTCGCAACATAATACAGTTTATACAAATTAGGTATAAGATAAGCCGTCTTGTTTGAAATGAGGAAATAGTGGTTCTGCTTGACAAGAACGAAGACCAAAAAAATCTTCAAAATGTATCCAGAGACATTCTCCCATCTGTAGTCCCTATTCTGTGTGCAACAAACTTAAATTGAATGCATTATTTGCGATTTGCTAATTACAACCACAAAAATTGCTAATTCATTGTATGGGATCAATTGTGCAGTCCTAGTTTAACTTAATGCCCCTGTCTTTTTATCCACCACATTCACTGAAAACTAGATCTGTGACAGAATATCACAGTCCCCAGAGTTTAAGAACAGTCTCTTTAGTCAGCGAGGCCCGGCCCACCACAGAGCAGCTGAGTGAGGGAGAAGTTGGCACAGCTGGCAGTGAACCAGTCCGGATCTGACCATTAACCATCTGCTTCTCTGGCGCAATGAGGCTCAGGGATTCTACAAGCATCAAGATCAAAAACATAGGACCACACTTTTTATGGACTTTTAGTTATAATTTGGAACAGGCGGAATCAGATTTTTGAGATTTAAGTCTTGCTGATTTGTTCCTGGGGTTGTAACATTTTGTTTCTGTTCCAGGTTTAGATTATCTGGTCTCTTAAAACATTTTAATCCTTGCCTTTGATTGCTTCCCATTTTCCTACTGTTCTTAAAACTGACAGAACTGGAAATTTGTCATTACAACACTAGAAGTTCCTCGTTGCCTATATGACCTTATCTTACGTACAAAAGCCAAGATATAAATGTGCCAAGAGACGTGATTTTAAGACTCAAACAGAGCAGCAGAAACAACAAAATTAAACAGAAAGCGCATAAATATTAGTTTTAATAATAACATTGTTGTCTGAAAACATAATATATGCCCTCTAACTGCTTCACTGAATGTTAAATATGAATCAAAGTCTTTTTCAAATCTAATAGTCATGTTGTTCTAAACAAGTTATCGATTAATCAAAATAATCATTGCATAAAGACGTATAACTAGCCCTATTTAGCGAATATGGTTGGAAAGAATATTGTGATTTTTACCAATACTGAAGACAACATTATGCATCTCATGATAATTAATGCCCTAATGGAACCCTTATTTTTACAAACTGCCTGTCATCTGCTAACGTTAAATCTAAAAAGTAGACAGTGTGGTGACAGTTTTTGGAGTAATTACATAAAACCAGCCGCAGCAAATACACGGACGTCAAAGGCCTTTTATCAATGCAGAGACGCCCTTCTGACGCCATGCTGAGCTTTGTGAGGGCCCCCTGCTGTCTGTCACACCCTTGTGTCTTTCGTATCTTGAATCTGTATGCCTGCTTATATCCATATGTCCCTGCTGCCAGGAAGGAGCCGGACCCCCCCGACACCTACAGACAATGGCTATCACTCTTGCCCCCTTTCACCTCTTGCATATGTATCGGTCTGTATGTGTGCACTCTCTACATCCTGCACCGGTGGCCCCCCTCCCATCTGTTGTGGGCGGGACTGGCTTTCGTGTGTGTCTTGGATACAGGAAGCTGGGGGCTCTGGCCCCCAGAGCTGAGCATGCTGCCTTTGTGTGCATATGCTGACTCTCCGCACTGTGCGTTAACAATAAACTTACGCTTTTGATCAGACAAAGGACCTTTGAGTTTCCTCCTTCATGGGGTATATATTTCTATAACAACATATTATGCAAAATTTACTTTTTTGAGCCAAAAGTTCTTGACCTACTATCAGGAACTTTGGGCACAATCATGTAACTCCGTCCCCTCTGTCTAAAGGTTCCTCTCTCAGTCCTGTAATAGTATGATGTCATTGTACCACTATGACGTCATAGTCTGAGCCGTTCAGCTTTTTATAACAAAAGTATTGCCCCATTAATTAGTTGTGGAAATTTCTCAAGTGAAATTGCGTTCTTTTCTATTGCATGTCTGCAACAAACTCAACTCCTCCCTCTGGTGGTTGCATGGGGAGTTACAGGTGGAAATAATTGTTTTACTCTTCATGCTTGCTTCACCATATACTTTTTAAAGATTTGATTTCACATTCAAAAACATGACATTTTAAATCAAATAGCCTTTTTAAGCGACTAAAACAATGCATCATATTTCATCTTTAAATTGTGACAAATGTGTGCACTTTCATCAAGCAAAATAGTGTCTGTGATAGTAAGTAACCAATAATGTTCTCACTAATGGCTGTGTGTACGTATGGCGGGGTAACGAACACCGGAGGAGCGCCTGACTTCTGGATGACCCTGTAGTGAGCACTTCTCTTTCTCTGGGCCAACTGGAGCTAATCCAGGCATCATGACCAACTGCCCCATTACCACTTTACCACACCGTCGTTAACGCACAGATATGGGATGTCTTCAACCCAGCTCACACACCCAGCGGTCGTTTTTCAAGGGCGATGAGAATAATGTTCGTGAAATCTTTGTTTTAATTATTTCATTGTCTCTGTAATTGCACGTGTTAAGCGGGGACTGGCTGTATGAAAAATGGTTCTGTGTTTGTCATCACCATTCAGATTCATGAGCCTTCAGGTTTAAATGACATGCATGAAAAGCCTTTTACCTGGGGTCACTGAGGGGACTGCTAAGACCACTGCTGCAGGGAAGGTCAGAGTGATTGTCAGGTTAATGCAGTGGACGACAAATCCAACAAGTTCACTGAAAGAGCCCTGGAGTGACAGGGGAATGGGGTTAGATAAGAAACATGGAAATCACTAATTTGACTCTCAAACATATGCAACATTTCAGAATAGATTTGTTCATGCACATGTTGACCTATTTTTAAGCCTCAAGCGCAAATTGTGTTGGAAGTAATGTTCCCAATTTTGTGTATACTTCTGAACTGTATGGACAGTTCTATAATGTAAACAATAGACAGTTACTGCAAAATCCCCACAGTATTACGTGGTTTCCAGTTCTGGTTCTGGAATAGTTCCTAGTAAATATCCAGGCCATAGATAAGCAAAGACAGTAAAAGGACGTAGTTAGGGCAGTGGTCTCCAACCTGTAGGTCGGGAGCTACCAGTAGCTCGCACACCCCTTTCCGGTAGCTCCCCAAAGGCTCAGGAATTTCACACACAATCCTACATGATTACATTTGTAGTTTACCATGAATGCTACTATACATGTTTTCATTATGTTCACTAATTTTTACTGTATAATATTTCCATGATTTTTTGCAGTTATTACAGAGACTAGTTTTATTACAACTGAAAAAACAGAGGCTCTTGACTATTTCTGTGCGCTAAAGTAGCTCTCTATGCAATCAAAAATTTTTGGAGACCCCCGAGTTAGTTTTTTTTGTGTTTAGTGTTTTTTCCAATGCCATAAGCACAATTTAAGTTTTAAAGTTTTTCTGTTGGATAAGGTCTACATATCATTTAAATAAAACATAATTTCCTCTACTTAGTATGAAGACTATATCATGTAAGTACTACTAGTAATAGTACATACTAAGTAGTAGCTTCATACCACTGTTAAACTGTATTTTTTGCAGAAGGAAAAAAGACAAGAGTGAAAATTGTGCAAACGATTGTGCAAGCAAAAAGTAAACTCACTTTGGAAAGCTGTCTCTCGGTGTAGAGGGCCACCATGATGAACAGGTTTGACGCTATAAAGGAATACAAGAGAAACAGTGCTTTTTTAGTATTTTTCATGAACCCAGATAAACATCAAGCCTCCCACATATCAGCCTGTATCTTGTCCAAAACCACCATCAATGAGACAAAAGACAATCAATAATAAAAGGTATAAACTAAGGCTGTCAAAATTATCGCGTTAACTCACGATAATTATTTTTTTTCATTAATCGCGTTTAAAAAATTAACGCATTTGACGCATGCCCATGCGTCCCATAATAACACTCCGCGGATGCCGCGGACACATGCGTGTGTAAGATGGGGACAGAGCAGGTAGGCCCTCTGGGAATTCAAGTTTTGAAAGAATACACGCGTGACCGCGGAGCACTTGTAGTGTCCTGTATGAACTCTGCATGATGAGCTGCGGCCGCGACAGCGCTCTGGACAGCAGGTCCCACTTCCAGCGGCTGTGATCACGGCGAACGCCGCTGCGTAATGGGATCATATCCAAGACCACGCACAGAACTATTACAGAACTATTCTCTAGTGTGCGTACGTGTCTTTACATATGCACACAATATGTACAGCGCTGAAGTAAGTAAGTAAGTAAGTAAGTAAGCTTTATTTGGTCCAGCTTTAAGCTGGACTGCGGAGCCTCAGTCTCCTCCGTGTCTTCTCCCGAAGCGCACTCGCTAAATTAAAGCTGAGGTACCTAATTTTCCTTTCAACTACCAGTTCATGTTAAAAAAGTAATGGTGTGAGCAAATCAAACAGATTTAATGACATTCTGCATTTCAGACTATTTTGAAATGACCCTCATCTGTAACAAACAATAGTTTTGGTCTGAGTCTAAACAGAAAGACAGAATGTTAATAATGTTAATTCATTTTATATGGAATTATTGTTATAACAAACAAATACAGTACATATTTTCACTAAGCTGTCATTTATCTTTCCATTCAAACAACAATTTACAGAAAAATATGGCATAGTTTTGCCAATAGTTTGAAATGCGATTAATTACGATTAATTAATTTTTAAGCTGTAATTAACTCGATTAAAAAGATTAATCGTTTGACAGCCCTAGTATAAACATGTAAATTAAATTCAATGTCATTGAATTCGTCACCGCACCACTATAATAAATAACGGTTCAATATATATATTTTTTTAAACACTAATCAACAGCCACTTCACTCTCACACTTGAACATTGACACATATTTGTCATCTTTATTTGTGTATATTTCCCCAGACATTTTGTGCAGTAAATCTACATAGTCTGAGATTCCTCATGATTAAGCAGCAACACCTGATGAAACCAAATGAGTCTGAGCTCACAGAACATATGTGTCACACGCCAACTGCTGCGACACTCACCATGCAAAACAAACACTCACTGAAGTCCGTGTTACTACGATGTGCTATTCTGGTTTCACAGCGAGGAGAGAATTATATTTGGGTCACATACGAAGTAGAATGTTTATCGCAAATTAAGGCGACGGTCCTGCTCCCTTTGAATCCTGCAGTGGTACGTTTTCTATTGACAAAATTATAATGGGGGATTGTAGTCAGTCCAAAACTTCAACTACAAAACAAGTACATAATACAATATTTTTGGACTGGGATGAAGCACCTTAGTGTCAATGGATTTCCAAATGATAAAAAGATTGTTGCCATGATAATTGACAATTCAGGTATTGTGTCTTTTGTAAAAGAAAGTTGAAGCCCAGGAATAGCTATAAGCCTCAATAAAGCAGAGTATATCTCAAGTGGATGTAAATGCAGCAGCTCTGATGGCTGTCCTTTGGGTACAAGCTGCTTTATTGTCCACTGCTGTAAACACTCACTGGCACTGATGCAGCGGCCACACACACACACGTACACACACATACAGACACATACACACATGCACGTGCACACTTGCGTACACAGGCGTTCACACGTTCCTCTCATCAGAACACCTTGAGTCTGCTCTCTGTGTGATGAACTTGTCCATTATTTCACTTTGTGTGAATAAACTGTGCCTCCTCTGCTCTCGCCTGTCCTCTCTCTCAGCAGTACTGTGTGTGAGCGGTATATACAGTATGTGCAGTATATAGGGCAGGTGATTGTGCCTCCAGAGACACTGGAGCTGCATTACTGCAGACTTTCACTGTGATGCACCGTAAAAGTAAGCACTTGCTGAAGTAAACACAGAGCAACTTTGAATATTACTAATTCAGCAAGAAATCAGGGCTTTTCTACTCGTTTGGGTTCAGTTATGTTTTATAAATAATACATTGGCTTCATAATGGGCATTAAGCGCCCAATAGTTATCTAAAAAAACAACAGTTTCAAAAGGACTCACCAATTATGAGACAGGCAGCTGGCCAGCTGTAAGGGTCCTTCAGGAATAATGACACCACTTGGATGGGGTCCACCAGAATACCATGCCTGAAACATTGAGGACTTTATCAACTCAAAAACTAACTAAATGTATTGAAATCATTACCTATCCATACCTAAGTAGATTTTCTAAAAATAGGCGAGCATTGCTTAGAATCTGTAAAAGATAAAGATTATTATTCCTTCATATTCAGCCTAACACTGTATTACACTATTGACCTTAAAGAGAAGGATCTGAAGCAGAAAGAGTTGGTGGGCAGAGGGCACTGAACATGTTCTAACAGAGGTGTAAGCTATATTTGGTTTGTTGTCGTCTTACCAGCATCACCACGCACCAGTTGAGGACTCCTCTGTAGTTGTTGTAACCGCTGGCAGAACTCAGCAGTGACTCTTGTGCTCTGTGACAGCTGAAACACATACATACAACTATTACGCTAGCTCACTAACCCCAGCTCAGGGCCTCAAATTTACAAAAACAAAAGGGACAAGGACTTGAGTGCAAAAAAGATGTACAGTATGTAAAGCATGTAGTAAGTATTATTTAAGTATTATGTTGTCTCTGTATAGTAGGATTCTGTCTGATACAATTCCCAGTGAAAGTGGAACATGTCTTTCATACAAAGTGCACAGCTAAAAAGAGACAGGTCAGTTGAATTATGAAGCACCATAACTGTGTCGTTAACCTTCCTTCATGACCTGCACGGCCCCCTCCTCCCGGGCCGCTCCATAGGTCCATAAGATAATGGTGTATACAGTGTGGTATGAGAAGGGAAGAACACTTTGAACATGTTTTGAGTTACAGAATTCGGAATACTAGCAATACAATGTACCGGTATTTTGGAATATATTTTGATGTATGATACTGAATAGTTAAAGCAACAGTACATCACTTATGACACATGTTTTATACTTCTCCCGTAGCATAAAAATATTCAGTGTAAAAACAGCTTTTTTTAGTAGAATACATAATAATAATATGGTGGCTTTGTAAATCCAATCAAATCAATATAATATAATGATCTGGGAAAAAATGTGTATATTTTATTTTTCAATATTTCTTTCAACAATTTCTATTTTTCCTATACTGTAGATGTAGATTGCCATCCAACTGAAATAGAATATCAATCAATTTAAGGACATTTTTGGACAGTGGTCATCCTGCTCCCTATGGACCAATGGCTGCTTTGTGTTTGTAATTATTGATTCTCTGATTGTTATTGGTAAATTGAAAACTTTGTAAAGTTCTGTTATGATTCAGGGCTATACATAAACAAATTGAAATTAATTTAAGATGAATTAATGAGCAAATTAACTAGTGTGTTTTCATTTCTAAGATAGTCACCATATGTAAGTCATGTATTGTTGATTATTAACGTATTTTTATAATAATAATAATAATGCATCAGTTTTATATAGCGCTTTTTTGGACACTCAAAGATGCTTTAAATGTCATTATTCACCGGTGGTGATAAACTACTACTGTAGCCACAGCTGCCCTGGAGCACACTGACAGAAGCGAGGCAACCAGCATGTGCCATCGGCCCCTCCGACCACCACCAACCATTCACACACACACCAAACTCTTTCTAGGCAATGGGGGTGAAGTGTTTTGCCTAAGGAAACAACGGCAGTTTGGCACTTTACAGCCGCAGCCGCCCCAATGTGGCACCTGGTGTTCCCAGAGGTTAAGGACACAACGACAGCAGACAGTGAGAGTCGATGGTGAAAGTTGGGCTGGAACCCACGACCCTCTGGCTCAAAGGCCATTGCTCTTTTATGAATAAATCTATTTTTTATTCATTAAAAAAAAAGTATAATCTTTTTATGTAATATTTTCCTTTGCATTACAATTGTTGTCCTGTGTTTTTGAATAATGAAATTTCGATCATCGAAGGTCAAAAATAAAGTGACCATTGCCTTCTACACATTAAGCCTGTCTGGGTTCTCTGGGTGTGTAAAAGGCAGTGTGGACCAGATCCATGGTGTGGACTCAGACGACCTCCCTAAGGACACACACGCACACACACACGCACACACACACACACACATGTGCAGATATAATACATGTCTATACGTTTAACTAAACACACACCATAGCGGGTCAGCGGAGCTCTCATTCCTCCGCTTTTGTTTGTCACTTTTGCCCTTTTCCCTCGCTTCTTCACCCGCCTCTCTACGCCTCTCTCCCGGGCTGCCTCTGCTCTCAGTGGCCGCCTCAGAGCCTCTCTTCCCCGGCAGCAGAGAGCCTCCTCGTCCCGCTCCAAAGGTCGCTCTCCTCCTGCGTAAAACCCGAGCGTCACCCGGCTCCGCCATTGTTATGTTGTTGTAAAGCTCCCTCACAGGTATTTCCGAGTCAAAGTGTTTCAAAGTTTGTAGAACATGGTTAAAGTTGAGTTAGCACTGGCTCCACAAATGCCCCACTCACGGGGAAGTCCTTCGCGGGCGTCAGTGCACAGTCCCCCGCCCAGTGAGGCACATTTCCGCAGTCCGTGGGTGGATCGATCACACGCGGCTGGTCATGACGCGACATCTGGAACGACCTCGAACTCCTTGTATTATGCTTCTTGGTGGCATATGTGGGAAATATCATGAGGAAAAAAACAATAAATTAAAATTAACCTGTGACCTTGTGGTTTAGGCCTCTGATGACTCAAAGGGTTGAATTATAATAATACTAATGAAATAAATATGCATCGGTTTTGTATTGCACTTTTTTGGATACTCAAAGACCCCTCACATGTATCATTCATTCACTCCATACTCTGATATACTACTGCTGTGACCGCTGATGCCCTGGGGCAGACTGACAGAAGCAGGCAACCCCTATGTGCCATCGGCCCCTCCGACCACCAACCTTGCAGCACACACTCATTCTAAACAATGTGAGTGAAGTGTCTTAAGCCACACTGTGGCTACTGTGGTTCCCAGAGGTCTCCCATCACAGTACTAACCAGGCATCTGTTCAGCCCTCTCCTTCAGGAGCCCCTGACTTCTCTCAGTTTAGGGAGACCAGTTTTGACCCGGACAGTGAGGAGCAAGACAACATATTGGAGCCCTTCAAGTTTGTCTTCTCTCATATTGAGGACATGGAAGTCTTTTCTGTCAAATGTGTGGATAAAAGGGGTTATGTGAAATGTTCAGTAATGCATCACAGGTTACAGAACGGTAGGAAAATCAAAAATGTGTGTAGACCTATAGGTCAAGCTAACTCTTATTCCTCTAGAAATTAATATAAAAGAAATATTGGGTACCTATGTAACTTTAATGCTGTTGCGAGAATAATATAGATGAATGGAATAAGCATCTAGAAGTTGCAGCTCTTTATTATAATAAAGCCACGCCATAGTATCTCCTACTATATATTGTCTTTTTGATGTGTTTTCATGTTCTATACCACGGGTGACATATAGATGGCGCTCTTGTAAACAAATGGCAACAGAATTGTCCTTTGGCATCCCAAATGCCCAGATGAAAACAGCGATGCATATCCAGGTATACATAATACCTGGTCACAATTTGTGGAACAAACGTCACTATTTTTGTTTGTTACAAAATATATACAATATTTTAAATATAAGCTTTATAACTTTATGAAGAAAAACGTTTTCAAGTCCCGGGTAAGTGACATAACAGGAGTTCATGGCGAGGGTCATGTGACAGGGGCTCCTGAAGGAGCGCACGTATAACGGGCTGAACAGGGAGGTCTGCAGCCAGATGCCTCTTATGTGGGAAAAAAAATATATGTACAGAAATGATCAAAACCTATGTTCTTTATTGGGGATAGGGTTTCATTGACTGTAAATTAATTTGACTGTAATTATTATTATTTGTTATTTTTTACAATTCTCCTTTCACAGCTGCAGAAAATGTAACTTGCATTACTTGTTAGATAAATAAATCCAACAACTAGAATAAAAATGCCATTTATGTATCAATACAGCCGTTGTTCTCCGTCCTCACTCAATATGGGCCTTTATGAGCTTTGTTTCTTGTGTGCTTGTTGTGCAATAGTAGGTTTTAAGTAGTTTTAAAAATTCATCAAGGTAATCAAAGTAATCAATGCAACACAATGTTAAATTAAGATTCATCCCTAGTATCAGGAGTGGGATTTGAACCACATATTCGGTAGTAGTTTCTTATGTAAGTATTTTCCATGGAGACACATAAGCCTTGTTAGAGCTCCAACTTTTTTGAGCCATGGCACCTTTTTCATTGGGAAAATCTTGGGACACAACACCAGCTGAAGGTAAACTCAGCCTTTACCAAAAATGCAAAGTCATTATCATCAATGTTTATCAAATAGAATATCGAACAAGCTCAAAGAGTAAAGGTCTTGTAATCTTCTCACAATATTTTCCTCTTCAAAAAGTTAATGGACAATTCCCATATGCTCACCAAACAATATTTCAATGTTCACTAACACTGGTTGAAAATCACTGGACAGGGCTTTTCAACCTGGAGAGACACAGAGCGGTGAATGAAATTAATGAATTGATTGTAATGTTTTGGCACATAAACCCTGGCAGGAACACGTGATTATGATCTTGATCTGAGATGAGAGAATCTCTGATCCAACGGGACCTGGGGAGGTGGCATCGGGGATCTATTACGGTGGTTGTAGCAGAGGAGATGCTGAAAGAGGAGGAATGCATGAGATTTAGAAGAAACATGACTGTGGGAAATAGCTACTTTTGCACTGGCCGCTTGGCTGGCACAGGCTGGCAGAGGAGCAGTGCACAGGAGCAGTGCAGAGCTGTGTGATAGCTGATAGTACAGAGCAGGCAGAGGAAGGCTGTGGGAGAAGGGGTCGAGAGGGGGGTGCAGCAATTGAGGCTGGAGGCCGAAGCAGTAGTGTCCCCGTCTGAATTTCCGCTTCAACTGCATAGATTAGGGGTGTCCAAACATTTTAGTAAGACTTTAGTTAACCAGACTTTTCCAAAGACTTACAACCCAAATTGTACAACTGTTTAGACTGGATTTGGGTTGTTCTAAGCTTTAGAATGAGCTACAACAGAGCTGAGGTTGACAATATTTTTACCAGTTACATTAGCGCCATATCCAAAATATTGTGACACAATCAAAAACAAATGTCAGTGTAAGGCTTGGAACATTCTTCTAAAAAAGACAAAACTGCTTATAGTACAGTACATGCCATGTTTGGGCTGTTGATACTGGACGCGGCCAGTTTGACAGATCGGGCAGATCCATCAGACTGACCACGCCCTCCGTTGCGCTGTAGTCTCTGGAGGAGTGAGTCCCAAGTGTGCGCCAAGATGAAAGCCCCCTTGTCTTGGTTGATGGTACGTGTGCCCACTTCCTGATTTCATTCACTTCGTATCCATCTTTATTTGTGTTCTTTTACAAAAAATTTTGCATTGCAGTCAATTTTTTAATTTTCTCCTCCTTTAGATTTTCTCTTTTTTTGAATAACTTTCTAGTCCTGAAACCTTTTTTTTACGTTTAAGTGTCAGTATATACACATCAAGTCAACAGCTGCATTTTAGATGTCCTGAGCTTTGAGGTAAATGTCTATATTGGTAGAGCTGAAGTTGGCTGGTCTACACTGTGATCTCAAAGACTACTTTAGGATAGCAAGGCGGAGGGCCACGTCAAATGACACAGAGGGCCTTAACTTTCTTGAAAAACTGGCTTAATCTCAATGGGACTTTCCTGGTTAAATGAAGGTTAAATATGAAAAATTATTGTGTTAAAAGCCAGGACGGATATTGCCACTTAGCCTTGGCTATAAACGTTGTAGTGTTTCACATGATGATTGTGTACACGTGTCTCTATAAAATGAATAAATAAATTGTCCCTTAGTTTGGACAGGCTGGATATACAGATGATCCAAGACGACTGTGTGCTGTGTCCGCTCCACAGGGGGCAGCAGCTGATCAGACTCATTGATCGACTCTTATCAGCTCTGATTGTCTGAAGTTGTCTTTAAGAGTAATGGACAGTATCAAACTCTTGGGACCAGGCGCTCTGGATGAGGTTCAAATCAATAGGACACTCAAAGACAGGTAGCTTATCCTTTTGGCTTTCCTTCTTAGTCATATCATGTTTTCTTTGATGTATCACTTTTATTTTACTCAAAAACATTTTATTATGGTTCATTGACTCAAATGACTATTTACTGCACGCCCAGTAGAGGGAGTGCAAGACTTTTAAAAACACATGTGACCAATGCAAAAACCCATTCTAGATAATCAATAAATCTACTGTTTATTTTTCCAATTTATCATATAGAAAAAAATTAATATTGATTTATTTTGTGTTTTTGTTCTTTTTTGTTCTTTTTATATCAAATTTGACACAGTTAAAGCTGAAGTGAATCTGCTTGATGTCATCCAGTTATATCTAGAAAATTGTCACAGCTCTAAAATGCAGTAATTTGACTCGATTTGTCAACAGACCATTTCAAATGTAGAGAATTATGTAGAAGTTAAAAAAAAAAAGAAGTCATCATTGATATTTTCTGTAGGGGCAAAGCGACTGATGCTGAACAGATTTAACTTCTGACTTGTATAATACTTAATAATAAATGAATTGTGCGTGTGTCATATGCTGTTGTTGTTGTTTGCGTCACGCTGTGGCCACGTGTGTACACAGGAAGCTGTCAATTTCTGATGCCACACAGCCGCAGACATAAATACACGTCGATAGATCCAGGTCTAAATATAGAGACAGGAGAAGGTGAGATGAGTGGTGGGTTTCACATTAAGTCTATTCTTATCTCTGTGTTACAACCCTCACAACACGGGCAGAACTCTTTTTTTTCAATGTTTGATCAAATAATAGAAACATAGGTACTCTCATTTTGAGTAACTGTTGATAATACACTTTATTTTTCTAAAATAGTTTCAAGTAGACAAAATATGAGAAATCACTGATATTGCATTCTTGTATAATTCATCTTTTCTTCTCCAATTTGTGTTCAGTATGTATATCTTTTAGTGTTTACTGCTGGGGTACCTGAACCTTTTAATTAAATAACAATAGATTTTGTGGGTCTTAACAGAGAGACTCCTGCAGGATTGCATTGTCAAACACAACAAAATTCAAACATGTGTCAGAGGTAAAAACAAAAATAAGACCTGCACATACAATTCCCAAAGTGCTGTGTTTGTCTCGTTTGATAGGTCTGTGTCAGGACATTAGCACCGGGGGAAGGAGGAGCCTATACTCGCTCCATCCCTCCGAGGGGCAGCAAGAGAGTGTTTGCCCTTGTAGGTTGTAATGAAGCTGTGAAAGGATGGATGACTCACTTGAACACAGGCAGAAAGGAAATACACCTCCGACATCACATCTGA